TGTATGCTAGGTGAGACTAGGTATTTTAGAAATGTATGCTAGGTGAGACTAGGTATTTTAGAAAGGTATGCTAGGTGAGACTAGGTATTTTAGAAAGGTATGCTAGGTGAGACTAAACCGCCGACGCCACAATAACCCAGCAACAATGCGACAAGAAGAGGAAGAAGCAGCAGCTAGCTCTGACGAAAGCTACAAATGACGTCACAAGACTGAGGGAAGATTATTAATGCTTACATCTGCATGCCCTGACTAGAAGGATATTGGAGAAAGGAAAGGGAAATGTGATATGAAATACTAATATTTGTTGAAGGTTTTTTTGGTAGGCCTAGAATTTACGGAGTAAGTTTCGTTTTATTATAAGCTTCTAGTCAGTTTTCTAAGTATATTGTTTTTGGGGAAGAAGACAAGAGTAGTTTAAACAGTAATTTTATTCAATATATGGCAGTGACAAAATAATACAAAAGTGAACAAAGATAATTCGAAAACAAGTACATAAGTACTTATATCAATTCGTCTCCTTATTAATAAACCTGGCAGTAGGACGGAACTGTTACATATATTTCGATAGTATAACAGACAAAGAGAAGAAGAAGAAATCAGGGAGGGGAGGGCGGAAGGGTGCATCAGTAAATGTAAGAAAGTGGTTACGAAGAGAATAACGAGAAGAACTGCATTACTTGGTTGAATCTGGTTGGAATGTGATTCACGAAAAGTTAACCATGATGAGCTCTATATGAGGAAGCATTAAATACATTGGAAATCTCTAAATTACATATAAATTGCCTTACGTTGATTCCAATCAAAAAGTATACTGATATCCTGTAAAATACAAGAGTGTTGTAGTCTATATTAATTTCAGTATCAACAATACTCATTAAGTCTAAATATCATACTGACGTGTCACAAGAGTTGTCGAACAACATAGGTTTCAAAGTGAATGTACATTGTTTAAACAAACGCAATAATTAGATAAAAAATGAAATAAAATAAATAAATCTTTCACTAAATTCGTTTCGACTTACAGATAAATTGTTGGACAGAGTCAAAAATATGTAAGTTATATTGATCTGGCATATCAGGATTTCCATACAGCAGCAGATTTAAATTATTCCCAGGAGGTAGATTTCTAAAACATTGTCATCTTAATTGTTCGAAGTTAGGACAAAAGAGGAGAAAGTGTTCAGTAGTTTCAGCAGAACGGTTACAAGAACACATGGGACTTTCAACTAAAGTTACGTAAAAATAAGTGATTTTTAAGGGAACTACAGTTCATCCTCAGTCGATCGTGGTGAATTTGGCCAAATCTACTTTTGCAGTAATAGTAATATATGGCAAGCCAACTTAACATTTATTCAAGGAGCAATGTCGATCCTGTATTTCACCGAATTATATAAGATATCTTATATAGCATATGAGATATCTTATATACTATATAAGATATCTTATATCGTATATAAGATATCTCATATAGTATATGAGATATCTTATATAGTATATGAGATATCATATATACTATATGAGATATCTTATATAGAAATTAAATGAGATGCTATATAAGATATCTTATATGATATATAAGATATCTTATATCGTATATAAGATATCTCATTTAATTTTCTATATAAGATATCTTATATAATATATAAGATAGCTATATAAGATATCTTATATAATTAAAGTCTCGTTACTAAATAAGATATCTTATATAGGAACGAGATTTTAACAAAATGTCGAAAATGAAGTCTCCCCGTCCGGAATATCTCGAGGATCTACGTAGGGACAGTAGGCNTTTTTTTTCCATTTCAAATCCCTGGGATCTCGGAAACTAATCAGTCCATATTTTCCATTCTTTGTTAATGGTCCCTGCCAGATTCTACATGTTCCATTTTCTGCACTGATAACTGAATTTTCTAATATTCTGTATTGATACAATTCAAAGAATTCCTCCATTTTTACTTTTAAAAATCAGGTGTAGGAATACATAAAACCACATAATATGCAAATTTAAGTGTCTATATTTAAACACTCTGCCATTAAAAAAATAATTAAAAAATTAAAATTAAAATGAATTTAAACTTTAATTTTTAATCAAATTTAACTTTTTTATAAAAACTATTTGATTCAAAAAATCAAGGATGCAGTATAGAATAATCATGCCAAATTTTATCGAAATCGGTCAAAAAATACGGATCTGAGAAATAAAAACATGCATTTTTAGACCAGTCATATAGGACTAAGACCACAATTAATTTTACTATATGTTTCATTGTAACATTTAATTTCATAACAAATTCCCAATATCCGATAGCCAACTTTCCATCTAACCTGGTCAAGAGCAACATCTTGGGAGTAAAATATCAAAATTTCAACATAGCATGTTGGCCTTTTTCTTGAGATAATCGTCTGCAGGTGTCACCAATGTCAAAAATAAACTTCCGGGTCAGGGGTAGAGGTAAACACAGGACTTTTCACACAGCACCCTGCACAAAAAATTAATGCACAATATAAAAATTTGACACAGAAATTGTTAGATTGATATCTCCACAGTATTTTAACACCAAACTTTTACACAAACACCAAGTTCTAAGAGGCATAGTATAGTTTTTACTAAAGTACCTATATTTCTAAGGGACTTCATTCGTGGGTACTGAACCCGGGTACTGAACCCGGAAGCATTTAATTGTGACCTCAGTCCTAAAATACAGCATCCGTACCATCCTTCTCCGCCATTGCGCCCAATGCAATCCTGAATGTGCTCCGAATGATTCTCGAGGGAGAAATTAGTTTCTGGTTTTTAATGCCACGAAATCTCATTCTATATCAGATATCTTATATAGCAACGAGATTTCAATTATATAAGATATCTTATATAGCTATATGAGATATCTCATTTAATTTCTATATGAGATATCTCATATAGGATATAAGATATCTTATATAGTATATATGATATCTTATATAGGATATGAGATATCTTATATAGCTATATGAGATATCTTATATCGCATATAAGATATCTCATATAATATATAAGATATCTCATATAATTGAAATCTCGTTGCTATATAAGATATCTGATATAGAATGAGATTTCGTGGCATTAAAAACCAGAAACTAATTTCTCCCTCGAGAATCATTCGGAGCACATTCAGGATTGCATTGGGCGCAATGGCGGAGAGGGATGGTACGGATGCTGTATTTTCCCTTGGCCTAGCTCGCCTTGTCTCTCTTATAGCGGCCAAAGCAGAGGCTGCCATTTCCAGCACTCTTGAAGTGGGCTCAGACATAATGGCGGCGACAGGAACACGTGTTGTTACAACAAGCCTACTGTCCCTACGTAGATCCTCGAGATATTCCGGACGGGGAGACTTCATTTTCGACATTTTGTTAAAATCTCGTTCCTATATAAGATATCTTATTTAGTAACGAGACTTTAATTACATAAGATATCTTATATAGCTATATGAGATAATTTATATATTATATAAGATATCATATATAGAAAATTAAATGAGATATCTTATATACGATATAAGATATCTTATATTTTTTTTGAAATACAGGATCGACATTGCTCCTTGAATAAATGTTAAGTTGGCTTGCCATAGTAATAGGATGGAACAAGATTAGTGTGATAGATGACATTCACGGACTTCTTAAGGTTAGTGAGTGAAGGGTTATGCTTAACGTCGTCCGGAAGAGCATTCCATAAGCCAACAGAGGAAGGTAAAACAGAATCTTTATAGAGTTTAGTACGACATCTTATTTGACAGAATTTATTCGCGTTTCTAGTATCGTGAGAATGAATGACAGAATGACGAGCGGGGAGTATGTTAGTTAAATAGGAGGGACACTGACCATGAACAATCTTATGAAGTTGTGTTATTTTGTGTTTTCGTTTTCTTTCAATAAGAGGGTCCCAACCGGTTTCTAAATACAATCTCTCATGACTAGTTAGTTAAGTGGCTCCAGTTACAATCCTGGCTGCTTCGAGTTGAATATTTTCTAACAGTTGGCTTTGGCCTATCGTTATATTGCCCCATATCACGTCACCATATTATAACAAAGGTCGAATAAAAGTAAAATAAATAGTTTGAAGCGTTTTTCTGTTAATGAAAAATTTCAGTTTTCTTAAAAGGCCTGTTATTTTGAAGCTTTGTTAATTATATACTGAACATGATCAGTCCACCCTCCATTAGACGAAATAAAGACACCAATGTGTTTGTGGCATGTTAATTACCGCTGTTGGTGGTTTGTTGTTCATAGACAAAGGGGGATGAAGTGGTTTGTCATTTTTTCTACTTACTGTCATTGACACTGTCATACGAGGATTGATTAATCGACAAGCCATGTTTTTGACCATTCATGAATTTTGTTTAGATTATCATTCAAGAGATTGGCACAGCCGCTTTAATCTCACAATCCATGATGTGCACAAAATAAGTTTTTCGTTCTTTCTTTCTTTCTATTATCATTATCATTGATTATTGCTATTGAAAAGGAAAACAATAAACTTCATAAATTTCTATTGGATAGTCTACTCGACTGCCAGGTTGATTGTAAAATTGGCAAGGTGGTAGGAAAGAATACGGTAGGAAATACGTCGCTTTTTACGAATGGGGAATAATTTGGGTACGAGAACACTATTCAGAGTAAAGTGACGTCAACACGAGATAATACGTCATACATTATGAAATGTGTGCCCCCTATTATTCCAGTTACTGACCTGGCTACCTCCCCTATCTGACTAATATATTAGACGTTTCAGGAAAGTTCCGGAATATTGGGGCACATATCGGCAAATAAAACTATTATCTCTATAACAGGTAGTGCACTCGAAAATTGTTATTTTGTAACGTAAAGCGTATGTTATATTAACTATATTAACTCGAAAATTGACTTAGCCAATTGTTTTATTTTTATTTTCTCTTTCAACGAGAAAAATATAATGCTCTATTTTGAAATGGTCCTTATTATTTCAAAAGGAGGTTGTAACGGAAGTGACGAAATATCCGTGTTTATAAGAGAAGTTTTGCTCTGTCACCGCAGTCTAGGAGGTGGAAAGAAGAAGTAAGGTTATTCTAGCTTTGATATATTTTCGCCAAGATGGAATTGCCACATTTAGGAACTCATTGTTCCAACAAGTCTTGTAAACAACTCGGTAAGTCTTAGTTAGCCGTACCAAACGGAAGTTTCCCATTGGAGTTTGGGGGCAAACAAATCGTGGTGACAGATTAAATGTACCGTCTAGCAAACGTTTATTTATTCGCTTGCTATCGGTGAATATTGACATCTTAACACATTTTAACCTTTTCATTTCTAGTTTGATGTAATCCAATTAGTGAATGTCTATTTTTACAGTGTTGTTTGGCCCTAAATGCCTCAAATTGTCGATGGTACAAAATGCACCAGTATCAGCTTCTTGTCCCTTTAATTTTCTTATGTCATAGATTACTCCTAAAACATAAGAGGCCGCTGGTCGGACTTTTTTCTATCGGATATGATTTTGCCGACTGTGGCGCCTGTCAAAAGTATCTCGCCGTGTAAACCTCTAACACTGTTGGAGTAGACATAGATCTGTTTGGGACAATAATACAAGTGTACCAATTGCAGCACCTTAATCTTTTCTATTCTGTCGTGTCATGGTGTCTTTTCTATTCTGTCGTGTCATGGTGTCTTTTCTATTCTGTCGTGTCATGGTGTCTTTTCATCACTGTCTCCCTTGGCTATAGTCTTCATATGATCTTTTGAAAAATGAGATGTTTCTGAACTTCCAAAAAGTCTTTTTAAATCATTAAAGAGAATTTCTGCAATTTGATTAATTTACAACCTGACACTTCGGTGTTGTTATTTTTAAAATTCTTCAGTACAATGAACTGTCTGAAATGTCTGAAATGTCTGAACAAAATCGAAAAGGTAACGTAATCAAAACATCCTAATTTTTTTGGTCCCAAAAATCTAGGATTCTTCTCTTAAAGATGTATAGTATACTGTATGAAAAAGTCTAATTGTGTTTTATTTTTTATTTGAAGTTATGTCTATGTCATACATCGAAGTGTCAGGTTGTAAATTAATCAAATTGCAGAAATTCTCTTTAATGATTTAAAAAGACATTTGGGAAGTTCAGAAACATCCCATTATTAAGATCACCTGGCCCAAAGGGCCACGTGAGCTTATGCCGTACTGCGGCGTCCGTCGTCAACTTTTTCTTTTGAACATCTTCTGAAGAACTGTAGGACCTAGAGTCATGATATTTGATGGGATGGAGTGCTATAAAGTTTCCTCATTAAAATGACCTTGACCTAGTTTCAAGGTCACATGTGTCAAATATGTTAAAAACCTCAAACAAAAATATCCTAAGAACCATTTGGATTAGAGTCATGATACTGGGGTATGTTTTGTAGACCAGCAGTGTGCATATTTTCCTCAATTACAGTAATGAGGTCAAAGGTCAACTTAAAGTGCTAGTCGGGGGTCAAATGTCGAACATGGGTTAAAAGCTTTAACAGTCTTCTTCTCAAGTTCCATAAGGCCCAGGTTCATGATATTTAGCCAGTAGGTACCAGGGATGGAGTGCTATAAAGTTTCCTCATTATAATGACTGACCTATTTTCAAGGTCACATGGTCAAATATGTTAAAAAATTCAAACTATCCTAAGAAGCATTTGGTCTAGAGTCATGATACTTGGGTATGTTGTGTAGACCAGCTGTGAATCATTTTCTTTATTACAGTAATGAGGTCAAATGTCAACTTTAAGTGCTAGCCGGAGTCAAAGGTCAATGTGGGTTAAAAGCTTTAAAATTAAAATTACCACAATATCTTAAGAAGCGTTTAAGAGATATTAAAATGTCTTGTGTTCTAGTTACCAAATTTGGTCTGAAGTTACCTATATGTCAGTTTCATGTAACAAAAGAAATGGTGAGCGATACAGGCCCTCTGGGCATCTTGATTTTCTGTGGACTTTTTCGGGCTGATAATGGTCCCCATTCTGAATTGGATAACATCAATATAAAAAAAAAATCTTGCCATACGGGTTGGTGTGAGCGTGCTAGCCACTAGCATTTGTAGTTTGTCTTAATTTTCAAACCTATTTCTTCCAGATTTTCTGCCAATGAAATGTGATGCATGTTCACAAATCTTTTGGTAAGTATTGTTTCCTTACTTTGTATACATTCATGATCAGCTCGTCACACAAATGGTGGCCATGATGGAAAATATAGGATGGATAATATAAGGGCTCGTGTTAACATTGGTTAATTCTTATATCACCTTTTTTAGTGAGATTGTCACACTGTTATGTTGTTATTGCCATTGGTAACTAAATGAGGTGACGTGACCTTCCTATGTGTGACATAATGTCAATCAACCGTACCAGAATACAGCACAATTTAATTAAACCATAAGTGAGGGCAGAGCATCGCAGATATATATAGTACATGAATCCAGAAACAGTGGCCATGGGTTTCTAATTCAAAATAGATCCACTGAGATGCTTTTTAGCTCACCTGGCACGAAGTGCCAATTGAGCTTATGCCGTGGCGCGGCGTCCGTCGTCCGTCCGTCCGTCCGTCCGTCGTCCGGTGTCAATATTTTACTTTAAACGACTTCTTCTTAATAACCGAAAGGCCTAGGGTGTCGATATTTGGCCGGCAGCAAACTTGGATGAAGGGCTACAAAGTTTGTTCAAATTAATGACCTTCACCTATTTTCAAGGTCACAGGGGTCAAATATGTCAAAAACTTTAAACATCTTCTTCTCAATAACCAAAATGCCCAGGGAGTTGATATTTGGCCAGTAGCATGCTTGGGTGAAGGGCTACCAAGTTTGTTCAAATGAATGACCTTCAATTATATTCAAGGTCACAGGGGTCAATTGTATTAAAAAACCTTTAAACAACTTCTTCTGAATAACCAAAATGCTCAGGGTGATGATATTTGGCCAGTAGCATGCTGAGATGAAGTGCTACAAAGTTTGTTCAAATGAATGACCTTCACCCATATTCAAGGTCACAGGGGTCAAATATGTTAAAAACTTTAAACAACTTCTTCTCAATAACCAAAATGCCCTGGGTGATGATATTTGGCCAGTAGCAAGCTGAGATGAAGGGCTACAAAGTTTGTTCAAATAAATGACCTTCACCCATATTCAAGGTCACAGGGGTCAAATATGTTTAAAACTTTAAACAACTTCTTCTGAATAACCAAAATGCCCAGGGTGATGATATTTAGTCAGTAGCATACTAGGATCAAGGGCTACCAAGTTTGTATAAATGTATGACCTTGAATCATATTCAAGGTCACAAGGAGCAAATATGTTCAAAATATTTCAACAACTTGTTCTGAATAACCAAAAGGCTCAGGATGTTGATATTTAGTCAGTAGCATATGCTGGGATCAAGGACTACTTTGTTAAAGTGAATGACTTTTACTTATATTCAAGGTCACAGGGCTCAAATTTGTTTAAAATCTTTAAACAACCGCTTCTGAATAACCATGGGTCGCAGGATGTTTATACTTTGCAAGTTGCATCCTGAGATGAAAGGCTATACAATGTGTTCAACATAATGACTTTGTTCGACTTTCAATCACAGGGGTGAAATGTTCAAAAAAAAAATAACAGGGTCTTTTGAATGAATTTCAATCATAAATACTGATATTTTGCCTGTAGCTTTATTTTAGATCACTTTTAAGGTTACAAGTGTGAGTTTTATACCAGGTGAGCGATGCAGGCCCCTTGGGCCTCTTGTTATAATTAACATTCTAAGTCTGTTCATGAGTATGCATATAGCACAAGAAACGTGTAATATACAGTATACCTCTCTGGTAGCACATTGCCAGTCATACATGGCAGTGCATTGTATAAGATATAGTGGCAGACTGCTACTATAAAACAGTAGAAAACTAGTGTATATTTATTAACTTTTCCATTTTCAGTGGAGACCACATTACGTACAATTGTCATCAGTGTACAGAATCTTATAAAAAGGTGAGTATTGTATAAATTTGTGTTGCTCATTGATGGAGCTCAGTACTAGTGAAGGAAGCCTTATTAAAATAGACATTTTCTTGTCTTAAATACCAAGTCAAGAGAATTCATTTGGTTTCTTGGCGATATGTCATAATCAGTGCTTGTCTGCAATCTATAAATATTTATTTGTCAATGTAGAATTCATTTAGATTATATTGATTCTTAGTCTTTTCACTCAACAATGTCAGTACTACCCAGGTATATAAACTGTATATATATTAAGTACAATACTTATCTCGTTAATTTCTGTTCTTTGATCAGATGTAATAATTTTGGCCAAAACTCGATGTAAAACATCGATTGTGCTTCATTGTCATTATCAAAGGCTGTGTTTAGTTCCAATTTGTCATGCAGATCTATATACTAATATAATGCCATCCTCTTAGATATTTAAATATAAATATCCCTCAAATATAAGCTATTCACAGTATTGACAAATTCTCCATTAAGTTAGTTGCAGTTTTGACACAATAAGGAAATTCCTTTATTCTTGGCTCAAGTTGTCTGGTACTCATAAATAAAAATCTGCAATCACTTTTGTTTTTACCATGTTCAGTTGTCAAAAAGTAAGAAAAAATGAAATTGGGATACATGTATTTTTAAACAAAATTTGAATGTTAAAGAGTATGTGTGTTTGTAGGATAATCAGGTACCAGTGTGTCCCCTGTGTAACCAGCCTATACCCATAAAGAAAGACGAGATGCCGGACGTCGTGGTAGGACAACACATTGATAACGATTGTCAGTCGGACCCAGCCAGGAAACGCCGCAAGGTCGGTACCAAGGCAACTGTCAAACACTGTCATTGACTTTTACTTACAACTAAATAATTTGACATCTAATTTTAACTTGGTCACCCCTGACATTTGATAATGAACTATTCCAACCTTTGAATTGGAAGAGTTCAAATGTGTCTTCAGAGGTGAATGAGTTAAGGTTACATTTCAAACTATAATACTGGTGGAAAATGTAACACAGTAAATAATTGTGTAAAATGTAATGTAGTAAAAATATAATAAGATGTAACCATTTTTCATAATTTCTTTATCACACTAAATCTTATTCTTTGAATTTTTCAGATTTATACAAATAGATGTTCACACAAAGGCTGTAAACACAAGGAAGTGAGTATATTGATCTATTTATGAGTACCAGTATATTTATCAATTTTTATAACGAACAAAAAAAGATCTTTATATGTATAACTATTTGCCTGTTATATCCCTTACAAATACGATTCCTTGTTTCCATATTAATACCTGTTAGATGTAAATTCTGTCTGTGAATAATAAACGCCTTTATAAATGTCTTTGGTATCGTTTGTTTTAGCTGATTCCAGTTACCTGTGATAAATGTCGGAAGAACTTTTGTTTAAAACATCGTAATGAAATGGACCATGACTGTAAAGGCTTTGAGAATTCAGGCAGAGGAGTGTCTAAAACAGGGTAGGTTGGAGTGTTTCTCCCAGGAAATACATTAAAAGTGATTTATTCATAAGAGCAAAAGTGGAAATTAATTTCAAATCTTAAGCAAATGTTTGTACGTTAGTTTATATTGAAAAGAGAAAAAAACCATGTGTATATCTGTGAAATATACAAGTGTTATTATTTGTGGTGTGATAACGATCAGTGAGCAATATACAAGTGTTATTTGTGGTGTGATAACAGTCAGTGAGCAATATACAAGTGTTATTTGTGGCGTGATAACGATCAGTGAGCAATATACAAGTGTTATTTGTGGCGTGATAACAATCAGTGAGCAATATACAAGTGTTATTTGTGGCGTGATAACGATCAGTGAGGAATATACAAGTGTTATTTGTGGCGTGATAACAATCAGTGAGCAATATACAAGTGTTATTTGTGGCGAGATAACAATCAGTGTATTTATTAGTATGTTTCTTCTCCACCTGGAAAGACAATAGTCATATTGAACTTCTGGTTATTTTGATATAAAATCTTGGCCATGCCATTATCTTTAAATTGTGAAGATATTTTGAATTAAAGAGTACCTCTGCATTACCCATGGAAGGTGTGAAGGATAATGTATTCAGTGTAATCTAAAAACTGAGACCTTCAAACAGACATAATATTTGTGACAATTAGGTTTGGAGGATATTTTAAGACTATTGATTGTGAATAGATATATTTGTGACGATAAATAATTTTATAACTCGTATCCTCAGAGCTGCAGCTGTATTTAGAAACCAAACACAGCCTACTAGACCATCTGCTACAGGGTCTTCAAAGGCCAAACCACAACAGTCCACACTCACACAGCACAACTTTGGTCGAGACCTTGACAGGTAAAAAATAATAACAGCCAATTTCAATTTCTAGGTTCATGAAATTTGTGAAATTGAGTATGAGAAAAATATGAATAACCTACACAAGGATACTGTTCTATGTCTGGGATTATGAATTTCACAACAACAATAACAAAAATTAAAAAAAAGATTCTATTGCTTCTGAAATAATCTTGTTTTTCTGTTGGAATTAAATCTCTAGGTCAACAATATAATATTCCTTGTGATCTATCTATTTCTTAGAGAGAGACGAGAGAGACAGATTGGACAGGGAGGCAGTCGTGCTGTACAGGGGGGTATGGTAAGTTCTTATATAGACATGTCTTTGAGAAATATTGTTTAACAGAGGTATACTCTGTGTATGTGGAGGCCCTATTTATGACCAAATAATTTTCTATAAGTCGGTGTTCAAATTCAGTTGGTGTCTTTCACATATCAAAAATTGAAGGAAAACAATGGTAGATGACTCCAAATGATACTAGTGTCTCATTATTGTGTGGTTTTGATGAAGTAGTTAAATTGTTATCGACAACTCTGCTGAAGTGCTGCTGTGGGAGATTCGGCTATAATGACTGGAATATATTATGTTTTATAGACGGAGGAAGAAGCCTTGGCGAGAGCTATTCAGATGTCCATGGCAGAAACACCCGCACCTCACAACACTAATACCTCAAACAAACCGTAAGTACCTCCTAGTATACAAATAAAGTGTATAGTTTAACCTAACAAACACTACTATACAATATATACTAGCGATAAATAGTTTTAAATGTCCATGTGACGGTAAAAATATAAATAAAACAAAACACAATATATACTATATATAGCTTATTTTTCTATGACCGCCATTGTTGAAAGAATCATCTTGTTTTTAATTGATCTGTTGACCTTTGCCCTTAGGTTGACCCAGCAGGAGCAGGATGACCTTTTACTGGCCCAGGCCATTGCTGCCAGCCAAGAGGAAGCAAATCAAGAACAACGCAGAAGGGTAGGTGTCTGAGCGTCCCTGTTTTATTGTCATCTGCAATAAAGTTAGAGTGGCATTCAACTTATAAACTGGGATGTATATTGCATTGTTTTATCTTTTAAAGATAAAAGGGCGTTTTTTCTTTCGCAAAAATGGGACTGTGTAATGGACCATATAAGGGTGCGAGATAAATCCTCACAATACTGACGTGACTCATTGTGCACTATAGAACCTCCCGATATTGTTGAAAATAAAATGTAATTCAATTTTTTATTTGCATGTATCAGTGAAACCTGTGTATAATGCGCGTTGCTGCTTTCGTTAGGATTACCTGTAACATGACGTATTAACGAGTATCACTATCTAAATGTATTGTCAAGCCTCTTTATTATGCCACAATGTTTGCTGCACTTATGATGGCAGTTAAATGAGGTTTTCCAGTATACTATTTACTGTTACATATTTGTGTTCTGTTTTTTGTCCGACAGGCATTAAAGATGACAGCGTGAGGATCAATCATTGATTGTTTTCTGTTATAGCAGCAGACCAGTCAGAACAAGAAGTCGTGTAGTCTCTCCTGACGGGGTCGTCTGACTTGTTCACTCAACTTCGTATACCGCAATCTCTCCTGTCTGAGCTTCAGGAGTGTTCACTGTACTGATCTAGTCTCCCGACTTGTGTTTCTCTGTGGGTGTGGTCATTGGACTGTGAACCTTGGACAATTTCATTGCTGAAGTCTTTCCTGGTGGAGGATTGGATGTGTGAACCAGAATGTGTATCTGTATGTTCACTGGACTGTTTCTCATTGTGGAGTTGTTAACATATGACAGTAGCGTTCATGGACTCCCTCCTTGTCCTATCCTAGGTTCTAGGGGAGACTTGTCCTATACTAGGTTCTAGGGGAGGCTTGTCCTATACTAGGTTCTAGGGAAGGCTTGTCTATTCTAGGTTCTAGGGGAGGAGTGTCCTATCCTAGGTTCTAGGGGAGGAGTGTCCTATACTAGGTTCTAGGGGAGGTGTGTCCTATACTAGGTTCTAGGGGAGGATTGTCCTATACTAGGTTCTAGGGAAGGCTTGTCTATTCTAGGTTCTAGGGGAGGAGTGTCCTATACTAGGTTCTAGGGGAGGCTTGTCCTATTCTAGGTTCTAGGGGAGGTGTGTCCTATTCTAGGTTCTAGGGGAGGATTGGCCTATACTAGGTTCTAGGGGAGGCTTGTCCTATACTAGGTTCTATGGGAGGCTTGTCCTATACTAGGTTTTAGTGGAGGCTTGTCCTATACTAGGTTCTAGGGGAGGTGTGTCCTATACTAGGTTCTAGGGGCGGCTTGTCCTATACTAGGTTCTAGGGGAGGCTTGTCCTATACTGGGTTCTAGGGAAGGCTTGTCTATTCTAGGTTCTAGGGGAGGAGTGTCCTATACTAGGTTCTAGGGGAGGTGTGTCCTATTCTAGGTTCTAGGGGAGGATTGGCCTATACTAGGTTCTAGGGGAGGCTTGTCCTATTCTAGGTTCTAGGGGAGGTGTGTCCTATTCTAGGTTCTAGGGGAGGTTTGTCCTATACTAGGTTCTAGGGGAGGATTGTCCTATTCTAGGTTCTAGGGGAGGCTTGTCCTATACTAGGTTCTGGGGGAGGATTGTCCTATACTAGGTTCTAGGGGAGGCTTGTCCTATACTAGGTTCTATGGGAGGCTTGTCCTATACTAGGTTTTAGGGGAGGCTTGTCCTATACTAGGTTCTAGGGGAGGTGTGTCCTATCCTAGGTTCTAGGGGTGAATTGTCCTATTCTAGGTTCTAGGGGAGGCTTGTCATATACTAGGTTCTAGGGGAGGTGTGTCCTATACTAGATTCTAGGGGAGGATTGTCCTATACTAGGTTCTAGGGAAGGATTGTCCTATCCTAGGTTCTAGGGGAGGCTTGTCCTATACTAGGTTCTATGGGAGGCTTGTCCTATACTAGGTTTTAGGGGAGGCTTGTCCTATACTAGGTTCTAGGGGAGGTTTGTCCTATTCTAGGTTCTAGGGGAGGATTGTCCTATACTAGGTTCTAGGGAAGGCTTGTCTATTCTAGGTTCTAGGGGAGGAGTGTCCTATACTAGGTTCTAGGGGAGGCTTGTCCTATTCTAGGTTCTAGGGGAGGTGTGTCCTATTCTAGGTTCTAGGGGAGGATTGGCCTATACTAGGTTCTAGGGGAGGCTTGTCCTATTCTAGGTTCTAGGGGAGGTGTGTCCTATTCTAGGTTCTAGGGGAGGCTTGTCCTATACTAGGTTCTGGGGGAGGATTGTCCTATGCTAGGTTCTAGGGAAGGCTTGTCTATTCTAGGTTCTAGGGGAGGAGTGTCCTATCCTAGTTTCTAGGGGAGGAGTGTCCTATACTAGGTTCTAGGGGAGGTGTGTCCTATCCTAGGTTCTAGGGGTGAATTGTCCTATTCTAGGTTCTAGGGGAGGCTTGTCCTATACTAGGTTCTAGGGGAGTCTTGTCCTATACTAGGTTCTAGGGGAGGCTTGTCCTATTCTAGGTTCTAGGGGAGGCTTGTCATATACTAGGTTCTAGGGGAGGTGTGTCCTATACTAGATTCTAGGGGAGGATTGTCCTATACTAGGTTCTAGGGGAGGCTTGTCCTATTCTAGGTTCTAGGGGAGGTGTGTCCTATTCTAGGTTCTAGGGGAGGATTGGCCTATACTAGGTTCTAGGGGAGGCTTGTCCTATACTGGGTTCTAGGGAAGGCTTGTCTATTCTAGGTTCTAGGGGAGGAGTGTCCTATCCTAGTTTCTAGGGGAGGAGTGTCCTATACTAGGTTCTAGGGGAGGCTTGTCCTATACTAGGTTCTGGGGGAGGATTGTCCTATACTAGGTTCTAGGGAAGGCTTGTCCTATCCTAGGTTCTAGGGGAGGCTTGTCCTATACTAGGTTCTACTGTATACCATGTTTTCAATAATAAGTTAAAGGAGGAGTTGTTATAGTACATACTGTACAAAGAAATAAGTGGATTACTTTATCATCAGTCCAAACAAAGTCAAGCTTTGCCAAAGTCCTCATTTAAGATTAATTATTCTTTTTAATGTCTAGGATTTGGATTAAATTAATGAAAGATGGGGAGACAGATATTAATTCAAGATGAAAGCAAAAAAAGTTGACAGGTTTTCTTTTTTTCCTTTTACTTCCTGATTATTATATTTAATGTATCAATACTTTGCCGATGCAGTTTTTGAAGTGTCTCTGGGAGTCTGACTTTAGTAGGGAGTTACCATGAAAAGCTATTCAAATGTAAAAAAAATGTGGAAATAGCTTGATATATCAATCAATGGCAGATATTTGCTGGGTATTGATGAAAAAAAATTGTCACTGAAGGCACGATAATACATGTAATGCAATATGATTTTAAGAGCATGGATGAGTGAACACATGTATTTTGTGTGTGTACCATTTGTGCGTGTTCCTCAGGTTTGTTTTAAAAGTAGCACAATCTTTATTTGAATATTTTGCAGACATTATTTAAGATTTAATGATTTAAGAGTTTTAGACCAATGTGATGTACAATTTAAAGAATGGGTATTTGTGTTGTCTTGTAAACCTGTTTTTGCTGCCTTAGAATCTATTCAAAGTGATATGACATGTATGTTCTATGTGCATAACATACAAGAGCAATTACTAGTTCAGCTGATCTTGATTTTGTAAAAGATTTTAAATGATTTGAATGAAACTAAAAAACATTTTAGGACTATTACATCAAAGTGAGGTTCATGATCACAACTGCGTGTCGGGGGTTGTCAGAGGTCACTGTTGTAGGATTGAGATTTCATCTTAATGATCAATCATACACAAAATAATTTTAATTCAAATTCGTGAAAATGCTGTTGAACGTCATACTTCAAATGAAGTTACATTGTGACACGTCTTCTCTGCCAGAAGCTGGAATAGTGTATAAAATATTGCCTACCCGATGGAATATGAATGTTCTGATTGAGGTTATTTCCCCAACTCCTGTTGGTTGGTTATTTATCTTGTTTAATTTGGCTATCATTGGTTTAATTTTCAAATTGTTCAAAGACACTCTGTAAAGTTCATGTCAGTTTGACAATTCACCAACTTTAGCTCAACATGATAACCAACCTTCAATATTGTTTGAGAAGCTCACTTTATTTTACCTTATCATGTCATTAATTTGTTACAAGCCTTTTAACTGTTATTTGTATTTAAAATTTATTCATATATATATGAAACTGTTTTATTCAAATAAATAATTTATTCCAGAAGAATGACTCATTTTTAGCTCACCTGGCACAAAGTGCCAAGTGAGCTTATGCCGTGGCGCAGCGTCCGTCGTCAATATTTTACTTTAAACGACTTCTTCTTAATAACCGAAAGGCCTAGGGTGTCTATATTTGGCAAGAAGCAAACTTGGATGTAGGGCTACAAAGTTTGTTAAAATTAATGACCTTCACCTATTTTCAAGGTCACAGAGGTCAAATATGTTAATTTTTTTTAAACATCTTCTTCTCAATAACCAAACTGCCCAGGGAGATGATATTTGGCCAGTAGCATGCTTGGGTGAAGGGCTACCAAGTTTGTTCAAATGAATGACCTTCAATTATATTCAAGGTCACAGGGGTCAATTGTCTTGAAAAACCTTTAAACAACTTCTTCTGAAAAACCAAAATGCCCAGGGTGATGATATTTGGCCAGAAGCATGCTGAGATGAAGGGCTACCAAGTTTGTTCAAATTAATGACCTTCACCCATATTCAAGGCAGCTGTGGGTATCCGACGATGGAATTAAATCAGGCATGGGTATCTGACGTTGGAATTAAATCAGCCGTGGTTGTCTGTTGATGGAATTAAATCAGCCGTGGGTATCTGACGATGGAATTAAATCAGCCGTGGCTGTCTGTTGATGGAATTAAATCAGCTGTGGGTATCCGACGATGGTATTAAATCAGCCGTGGGTATATGACGATGGAATTAAATCAGCTGTGGGTATCCGACAATGGAATTAAATCAGCTGTGGGTATCTGCCGATGGAATTAAATCAGCCGTGGGTATCCAACAATGGAATTAAATCAGCCCTGGGTATCTGACGATGGAATTAAATCAGCCGTGGGTATATGACGATGAAATTAAATCAGCTGTGGGTATCCGACAATGGAGTTAAATCAGCCGTGGGTATCCGACAATGGAATTAAATCAGCTGTGGGTATCTGACGATGGAATTAAATCAGCCGTGGGTATCCGACAATGGAATTAAATCAGCCCTGGGTATCTGACGATGGAATTAAATCAGCTGTGGGTATCCGACAATGGAATTAAATCAGCCCTGGGTATCCGACGATGGAATTAAATCAGCTGTGGATATCCGACGATGGAATTAAATCAGCTGTGGGTATCCGACAATGGAATTAAATCAGTCGTGGGTATCCGACGATGGAATTACATTGACAGCTATAGTCTGTACAATAGTGCCACTATTACTTTGGCAAAAATATAAACTCACTCAGACAAGGTACAGAAAAACATTTATTTATCCAACATTGCACAACAATATATGAAGATACATTTTATAATAAATATTAACATCAGTAGCAATCATGTTTAAAACCTGATTTCCTTTACATATATTTAACAAGGTTGCTGAACATATTGATACTGGTGGTGCCAGTAGTCTTGTTTCACTTTGTGGTTGGAAGGCTGCATTATTTCAGTTGTAAGATCACTTAAATTTTCCATTTTTTTTTTATTATGCATGTACAATAATTTGTGATCTTGATGATAACAAAATCATTGTAAACAGAGAGTTTAATGAAATGTGTAAACAAATTGGTTTCACAATATCTGATAACAATTCAAGCAATACATGATCATTTCCATAATAGCATTACTCAGATCAAGTTTGATCTGATGGAAATTACAAAGAAGTTAAAATGTCTCCGACAATTAGAAAACAGGTTGCTGTCTTTGATTGTGAATGGTTCAAAAATAATACTTGATCAGGGCCATGAGATTTTTTCTCTTAAATTCATACAACAAAATCATAAGATGATCATTTGCACCAATTTTTGTTTCGTGGGAATTTGCTTCTTTGTCCTGAAGAAGAAGTTGAATGTTTTTGTACCAGATTGAGTTACAACCACTACTCAAAAGGAGAACTAACTCATCAGTTGTACAACTTCATCCCGATGTTTACTGAGCAAAGGATAATAGTGTAAAAGATGTGGATTAATTAGGTTGCCTTACAAGCGTCAGCTGTAGGGAATTTCCCTTTAGCTTAGCAGTAGAGCATCAGGTTGGAGAGCCAAGGGTCGCGGGTTCGAGCCCCAGCGACGGCTATCTTTATCACTGTTCCTCGTCCTATTACAAATTGGTGCCGTTGACCCTCCCCGTTCAAGGTAGGAGAACCCTTGGCGGGGAGTCAAAGAACCTGGGTTTGTGTTTGAAAAAAGGGGGGAATAGTGTAAAAGATGTGCATTGATGAGATTGCCTTACAAGCGTCACCTGTAGGGAATTTCCCTTTAGCTTAGCAGTAGAGCATCAGGCTGAAGAGCCAAGGGTCGCGGGTTTGAGCCCCAGCGACGGCACGATCACTATTCCTCGTCCTATTACAATAAATCATATAAATGGAAATGAAAACTCCTAAAGGATTTTCCATTTCATATAACATTTATGAATCTAAGTCTTTTTCATTTCAGCAAGACTGGCAAACTCAAGATTCTTTTGATCACATGATAAATAATGTTTGCAAATAAAGTGAAAGAAGCTCATTAGCTAAGTCTAAAATCCCGCCATATGGATGTCTCCATTGTGATGTCATAACATAATGTCATTCGTTAATATTTGATGATGTCAGTATATAACAGGATTTCATACACACAAGTATGATACATTTGTATTACTGTAGTCATGTGATAAACACAAATAAACATGACATATGGGCTGATTCCTGTATACATGTACCACCCTCCTTACTTCGTTGTGGGATGAATAATAAACGGAAAGTGATACATACGTTATACGTGTGATTGGAATGTAAGGTAAATATAACCTGGTGTTCTGAAAGAGACTGAAGTTCAAACACACAAAATTATATAATTCATTTACCCATGAACATTCCTTTGGAATCGGGCCGTAAATCAATGTTTAAACAAATGATCTCCGAGAGACATTTCAAAATTGAATGGATTCTGTCCTTTTATCACAGATTTAGGGCCATGATGAGATATGTCTATAGATTCAAATACAGCACAAGTTGAAGGATACATAGTTCAACAGGGAAGCATGAGAACTGAACAGATTCTAGCTATAGGCCTTAAAGTCATTGGTCATTCAAGGATTTTTCCACATTTGACTTCTGTTTTATTGAATGTGAGCCAAACCCATTTATCTAAAGCCCTTCAACACTTAAGGTAATTGGCTAATATGATTTAAAACATCTTAGTTCATTAAAGGAATATAACCATATAACCTTGTTAAAATGTTACAGCCAAGGAAGATGAGGGGAAAATACTGCCTTACAGCTGAAAGGCTATGTAGTATAACGTGGGGATGTGCCCACTAGTTCATCAATGTTGAGTGTGGTCATTGGCACGATGGGTGCCCGCCCCAATGTTACATTTGGTGGCAGCGGTGGGATCAAGTGGTACTTTGTAAGGCCAGTTCCCAGTGGCTAGGGAAGGTGTATTGATACACAGGGAGGACACACAGGATTCCCCAGGCCAAGACTTCTTGAAACAGGGAATCATGTAACAGCCAAGGAATATGAACTAGCAATGTGTTATAACCCAAGACGTGCTCACTATTTCGTTCATCAATGTTGTGTGCTTAGTAGCTGGATCGGTACTTACCTGCATGTTAAGAATGTTGATCTAGGTAATATATTTCTTATCAAAATGAATTAAAATATGCAAGCTGTATAACAGGAATTGTTGTGTTGATTGTTTCCTTCATTCTCTATCTGGCCATGCTTGTAATTCACAAATAACACAATATGACATTTTGAGTTCACAAACAGTAAATGACCCACAACAGACAACATGGCATATTCTAGCTTGGAAGCCGAAGAAGGGCTCGGTGAGAGAACCATTCAAGCTGTAGCTATGATCAATAGCATGGTACATGATGGGGTAGTTTCTCCATAAACTGAATCAAGCATGTCAAGTATCCTAATTGTATTCTGTCTGTTCAGTAGCCATGGTGGATGATGATTTGGTGTAGTTTCTCCTCCTTGGCACGCCGTGTGTGACACAACTACAAGCAGAATGTATCAATCAGTCAATAGACAAAAGGCTTTAAGGACCTGTATCAGGAGGGATTTTAACTCATTTGTAGTCCATTGAGCAGCAGAACTGTACAAGTATATTTCTAAACAATGTTTCCTTTACATTTAAGGATTCAAATACATTTTTCAAGATTTAAGATGTTATGCCAAAACCATCTTTCTATGCATGCAGCAGCATATCTCGGAGTTATGTTTGGAGGAACCATAAATGTTAAATACGTTTTGATCTTCATAATTACATTTATAACAACACAAAGAATTCTGTTTCCCTCTGAGTGGGCTTTTCTTGCTTTATAAGATATTTTAAATAAACTCTTTAAGCAAATGGTGGAACAGCCAAAAGTTTTGCTTTGTGTGATAACCATTTCTATCTGGTATAAAACATTAGTTGAAAACAATTCAGGAAATTACAGACAAAATTTCATTATATATAGTATTTGGAGTTGGTTGGTTTATCCATAGACTGTAAAATGGAAATGTTCATATATCCATGGGTGATTATCTTGAATTTTGTTGGTTCTGCTTCGAAGCTTCGAGTATTCAACTTACCATTCTTGTTTGCGTAAACCTCTGTATGAACTCATCAATGTTCATTTTCTCTGCAAATAAAAAGGAAAAAATATTCTTATATTTAAAACTGGTACCCATGTCCGCCATTTGAGAGAAGGTGTGTGAGATATTTATATTATAACTAGGTCACTGTGACCTGTATTTTTTTTTTATCTCCAACCTACTTTTCGTACAAATAATTTTGAAGTTTTATCTCTACAGTTTCTACATTAACTGTAATTTTTAACTTGACTTCCTACTTATTTTGTGATTAAGATTTTTTTCTGGGTGAAGTGACGACCATACATGAAATGACCTAGGAAAGATTTCTCCTAGACTTAAATCTAAAATATAGGCCACTGTGACCTAATTTTGATATACACTCTTGAATTCTCTGCATCAACACACATACTAAGTTTTATGATCCTAGATAAAATAGCACAGAGGAAACACTCAGGAAACAAGGTCAGAGGTCAAAATATAGGTTGCAGTGATATACACTGGACAGGACACACCTCTTTCCTAGATGTACCAAATGTTATGATCCTCCATCAAGTAGGTTCCAGAAACAACTTTTCCTTAATATAGGTCAGAGGTCAAATGAAGGTCACAGGACCTACTTCCACATGTTACACTTTGCCTTTTTTCATTAATATAATGATTTCCTGAGTCGAGGAATTTGAATAGATACAAGTGTGAAAGTAAAGTGTAAGAGACATCTAAGACTACTGGACCCCAATACTTACTGTCCATCAAAGATTACTGGACCCCAACACTTACTGTCCATCTAAGATTACTGGACCCGAACACTTACTGTCCGTCTAAGATTACTGGATCCCAACACTTACTGTGCATCGAAGATTACAGCACCCCAACACTTACTGGCCATCAAAGATTACTGGCCCCCAACACTTACTGACCATCAAAGATTACTGGACCACAACACTTACTGTCCATCCAAGATTACAGGACCCGAACACTTACTGTCCGTCTAAGATTACTGGATCCCAACACTTACTGTGCATCGAAGATTACAGCACCCCAACACTTACTATCCATCTAAGATTACTGGACCCGAACACTTACTGTCCGTCTAAGATTACTGGACCCCAATACTTACTGTCCATCTGGACCCCAACACTCACTGTCCATCTAAGATTACTGGACCCGAACACTTACTGTCCAGCAAAGATTACTGGACCACAACACTTACTGTCCATCTCAGATTACTGGACCCCAATACTTACTGTCCATCTCAGATTACTGGACCCCAACACTTACCGTCCATCAAAGATTACTGGCCCCCAACACTTACTGGCCATCAAAGATTACTGGACCACAACACTTGCTGTCCATCTAAGATTAGTGGACCCCAACAAATAATGTCCACCTAGGATTACTGGACCCCAACACTTACTGTCCATCTAAGATTACAGGACCCGAACACTTACTGTCCATCTAAGATTACTGGACCCCAACACTTACTGTCCATCTAAGATTACTGGACCCCAACACTTACTGTCCATCTAAGATTACTGGACCCCAACACTTACTGTCCATCTAAGATTACTGGACCCCAACACTTACTGTCCATCTAAGATTACTGGACCCCAACACTTACTGTCCATCTAAGATTACTGGACCCCAACACTTACTGTCCATCTAAGATTACTGGACCCCAACACTTACTGTCCATCTAAGATTACTGGACCCCAACACTTACTGTCCATCTAAGATTACTGGACCCCAACACTTACTGTCCATCTAAGATTACTGGACCCCAACACTTACTGTCCATCTAAGATTACTGGACCCCAACACTTACTGTCCATCTAAGATTACTGGACCCCAACACTTACTGTCCATCTAAGATTACTGGACCCCAACACTTACTGTCCATCTAAGATTACTGGACCCCAACACTTACTGTCCATCTAAGATTACTGGACCCCAACACTTACTGTCCATCTAAGATTACTGGACCCCAACACTTACTGTCCATCTAAGATTACTGGACCCCAACACTTACTGTCCATCTAAGATTACTGGACCCCAACACTTACTGTCCATCTAAGATTACTGGACCCCAACACTTACTGTCCATCTAAGATTACTGGACCCCAACACTTACTGTCCATCTAAGATTACTGGACCCCAACACTTACTGTCCATCTAAGATTACTGGACCCCAACACTTACTGTCCATCTAAGATTACTGGACCCCAACACTTACTGTCCATCTAAGATTACTGGACCCCAACACTTACTGTCCATCTAAGATTACTGGACCCCAACACTTACTGTCCATCTAAGATTACTGGACCCCAACACTTACTGTCCATCTAAGATTACTGGACCCCAACACTTACTGTCCATCTAAGATTACTGGACCCCAACACTTACTGTCCATCTAAGATTACTGGACCCCAACACTTACTGTCCATCTAAGATTACTGGACCCCAACACTTACTGTCCATCTAAGATTACTGGACCCCAACACTTACTGTCCATCTAAGATTACTGGACCCCAACACTTACTGTCCATCAAAGATTACTGGACCCCAACACTTACTGTCCATCTAAGATTACTGGACCCCAACACTTACTGTCCATCTAAGATTACAGGACCCCAACACTTACTGTCCATCAATTCCCCCACAATATTTTCTGCCTCCTCCTCAGACTCCATCAGCGACACTTTTAAACATGTCTGAATGTTGGTTGGCTGGAATTTGTCGGACTCTGACATTAGTTGTTCCTGGTTACTCTCAAACTCCTCCCGCATACTTTCAAACAGGCTGTTCTGTTAAAACATTAGACATACGAACAAAGCCTTATTAATGATTCTTAAATTTCACAATCAAAATGAATCTTTTTCGATTTTTCATATTTGCGAGCCCCTAAAATCCAAAACTTGTATCATCAATCTAATATGAAGGGAAAGTTAGGACAGATCCTTTATATATAAGAGCCTCGAATTATAAATATATATGCCCTGTGGTATGTACCACTAATGTAGACTGACTTGCTGTTCAACGGCAATTATTAAGTCATAACAGTCGGGTCAGAATACTGTATACAATATTGCAGTGCACCTGAATTTTAAAGTGCATTATCCAACTTTATCAGATTTGTGCATTTGTGTATTTAGTACAGAGACAATTCATGTATATGCAACTGCAGAGAACATCCTGAAACTTGAGTTACAGCAATCATCAATTAGTGATATATTTAAAGCCCCAACAGCACTGTAATAAGAGTAGCACAAAACTATGTATATGTCCATTTAAAACACACACAGATGAAATGGATGGTGTGTGTAGGTCTCACCTTGTCAGCCACCCACTGTTTCATTTGTAAGATGGTAGGCTTCTTGGCCAGGTTCTCCCCTGAAAACAGACCATAAAATAGTTTCATATTACATGTACTAACTTGACTGACTTATAGATCAAGGTACCTTCTTAGAAGTTTGTAATAATTACTAGATCTACAATGAATGGCTTTAAGTTCTCAGACTAGAGAGAAACATTTACACTTACGACCACATCACTTGGTCTGCTTTGGCTGAGCAATGTTCACTGCAAGCTGTCACATGATCCTGAATGGTCATGTGACACTGTCACTGTCCCATGATCTTGAATGGTCATGTGACACTGTCACTGTCACATGATCCTGAATGGTCATGTGATAGAGAAGTTGTACACTTGATAGAGCTCAAGCCCCTCATCTTAGTTAAGGGATGGCCTTTGCTGCTTCATTTCTATAGCTTCTTTCTGATTCCCCTTGATGTGGCCCTCCTCTGAAGCCATTATTCTGACTTTGTCAGAGTTGATGCTATGACCAGTTAAGTAACAATATTCATTGTCACTCAAGATCATGCCACAGCCAGAAAATATTTTATCGAATTGCTAAAGTGAAAATGTGTCTCTTTAAGTAAAACGAATAAAAGTGAATTATGTCTTCAAAACAAGGTAGTGTGAATTCTGCTTGATATCACGTTTCATTTGTCAGACAAAAACAAAGTGACATTAGCACATTGTATGTTTTCTGCTGTTGAAACCCAGACATGATCATATTCAAATGACAAGCAGTAATTGTTGTAGAGTTGCCAGGATTCTAATTAAATAGCTGTAATGTCATCATACCGGACTAAATTACTTACTTGCTAAGTTTATACATTCATTAGACAGCTTTTCTCTGTCCTCCGCTAGTTTGGCTACGTCCGGTAGGTTCTGGATCATTTCCAGGATTTTTTCTTCCTCATTTAACATACAGTTCAACTCGGTCAGGCTGGAAAAGACAGGAAACATCACTATTTAATACAAATCACATTATTTCTGTGGAGTGATTGGATACAGTAACCTACACGGGCTATATTTAGTATGGTCACACTTCATCCTTGACTACAGATAACTATACTTGACAGACCTTGACTACAGATAACTATACTTGACCGACCTTGACTACAGATAACTATACTTGACAGACCTTGACTACAGATAACTATACTTGACAGACTTTGACTACAGATAACTATACTTGACCGACCTTAACTACAGATAACTATACTTGACCGACTTTGACTACAGATAACTATACTTGACCGACCATGACTACAGATAACTATACTTGACTGACTTTGACTACAGATAACTATACTTGACCGACCTTGACTACAGATAACTATACTTGACAGACCTTGACTACAGATAACTATACTTGACCGACCTTGACTACAGATAACTATACTTGACCGACCTTGACTACAGATAACTATACTTGACAGACCTTGACTACAGATAACTATACTTGACAGACCTTGACTACAGATAACTATACTTGACCGACCTTGACTACAGATAACTATACTTGACCGACCTTGACTACAGATAACTATACTTGACAGACCTTGACTACAGATAACTATACTTGACAGACCTTGACTACAGATAACTATACTTGACCGACCTTGACTACAGATAACTATACTTGACCGACCTTGACTACAGATAACTATACTTGACAGACCTTGACTACAGATAACTATACTTGACAGACCTTGACTACAGATAACTATACTTGACCGACCTTGACTACAGATAACTATACTTGACCGACCTTGACTACAGATAACTATACTTGACAGACCTTGACTACAGATAACTATACTTGACAGACCTTGACTACAGATAACTATACTTGACCGACCTTGACTACAGATAACTATACTTGACCGACCTTGACTACAGATAACTATACTTGACAGACCTTGACTACAGATAACTATACTTGACAGACCTTGACTACAGATAACTATACTTGACCGACCTTGACTACAGATAACTATACTTGACCGACCTTGACTACAGATAACTATACTTGACAGACCTTGACTACAGATAACTATACTTGACAGACCTTGACTACAGATAACTATACTTGACAGACCTTGACTACAGATAACTATACTTGACCGACCTTGACTACAGATAACTATACTTGACCGACCTTGACTACAGATAACTATACTTGACAGACCTTGACTACAGATAACTATACTTGACAGACTTTGACTACAGATAACTATATACTTGACCGACTTTGACTACAGATAACTATACTTGACCGACCTTGACTACAGATAACTATACTTGACAGACCTTGACTACAGATAACCATACTTGACAGACCTTGACTACAGATAACTATACTTGACAGACCTTGACTACAGATAACTATACTTGACCGACCTTAACTACAGATAATTATACTTGACTATACCAACAAGGCAACAACACTCCAACACAACCATATTCCTGCAGAACTATATCTCTAGTTATATCCCCTATTATCTTCCCTATACGCTCTGTGCAAGTGGCTAGTTATTTGATTAGTCTCAGGTAAAAAAACCCTGATCAAACACTAGGCTGATACCTGTCCTTTGAAGATTATAGAGGAGCATCACCCTACTTCAAGCCAGTCAATATTACTGTTGCGCAACCACAAGGTTTGTTTAATGTACATCAAAGGATCAAACTAGTCTTCTCATCTCACCCATAAGATGGTGCACACGGAGCCTTCAATTTTGCTATGACATTTTCCAGCAGTGAAGACAGTGAAAGTGACCATAATATCTGGATATTGATAATGCCTATTGTAGATGAAGTTATTTCTATTGGAACAGGTTGTGTAAGTGATGCTAGTTTCATTTCATTATAAGTATACATTTTGGCTGTATCAAGGAATAGCCGGGTAGTAAAACCACCACAAAATCTGATGCAATTAATGATCTGATGGCGACAACTCCAAAGGGTCAGAGTTCACAGACAAAAGGGTACCCCAATCAGCCTACCACAACATTCCCTGACAGTTTGGAAGACCCTATCAGCCTACCACAACATTCCCCGACAGTTTGGATGACCCTATCAGCCTCCCACAACATTCCATGACAGTTTGGATGACCCTATCAGCCTACCACCACATTCCCTGACAGTTTGGATGACCCTGTCCGCCTACCACAACATTCCCTGACAGTTTGGATGATCCTGTCAGCCTACCACAACATTCCCCGACAGTTTGGAAGACCCTATCAGCCTCCCACAACATTCCCCGACAGTTTGGAAGACCCTATCAGCCTCCCACAACATTCCCCGACAGTTTGGATGACCCTATCAGCCTACCACAACATTCCATGACAGTTTGGATGACCCGATCAGCCTACCACAACATTCCCTGACAGTTTGGATGACCCTATCAGCCTACCACAACATTCCCTGACCCGTTCAGCCTACCACAACATTCCCTGACAGTTTGGATGACCCTATCAGCCTACCACAACATTCCCTGACAGTTTGGATGACCCTATCAGCCTACCACAACATTCCCTGACAGTTTGGATGACCCTATCAGCCTACCACAACATTCCCTGACAGTTTGGATGACCCTATCAGCCTACCACAACATTCCCTGACAGTTTGGATGACCCTATCAGCCTACCACAACATTCCCTGACAGTTTGGATGACCCTATCAGCCTACCACAACATTCCCTGACAGTTTGGATGACCCTATCAGCCTACCACAACATTCCCTGACAGTTTGGATGACCCTATCAGCCTACCACAACATTCCCTGACAGTTTGGATGACCCTGTCAGCCTACCACAACATTCCCCGACAGTTTGGATGACCCTATCAGCCTACCACAACATTCCCTGACAGTTTGGATGACCCTATCAGCCTACCACAACATTCCCTGACAGTTTGGATGACCCTATCAGCCTACCACAACATTCCCTGACAGTTTGGATGACCCTATCAGCCTACCACAACATTCCCTGACAGTTTGGATGACCCTATCAGCCTACCACAACATTCCCTGACAGTTTGGATGACCCTATCAGCCTACCACAACATTCCCCGACAGTTTGGATGACCCTATCAGCCTACCACAACATTCCCTGACAGTTTGGATGACCCTATCAGCCTACCACAACATTCCCTGACAGTTTGGATGACCCTATCAGCCTACCACAACATTCCCTGACAGTTTGGATGACCCTATCAGCCTACCACAACATTCCCTGACAGTTTGGATGACCCTATCAGCCTACCACAACATTCCCTGACAGTTTGGATGACCCTATCAGCCTACCACAACATTCCCTGACAGTTTGGATGACCCTATCAGCCTACCACAACATTCCCTGACAGTTTGGATGACCCTATCAGCCTACCACAACATTCCCTGACAGTTTGGATGACCCTATCAGCCTACCACAACATTCCCTGACAGTTTGGATGACCCTATCAGCCTACCACAACATTCCCTGACAGTTTGGATGACCCTATCAGCCTACCACAACATTCCCTGACAGTTTGGATGACCCTGTCAGCCTACCACAACATTCCCCGACAGTTTGGATGACCCTATCAGCCTACCACAACATTCCCTGACAGTTTGGATGACCCTATCAGCCTACCACAACATTCCCTGACAGTTTGGATGACCCTATCAGCCTACCACAACATTCCCTGACAGTTTGGATGACCCTATCAGCCTACCACAACATTCCCTGACAGTTTGGATGACCCTATCAGCCTACCACAACATTCCCTGACAGTTTGGATGACCCTGTCAGCCTACCACAACATTCCCCGACAGTTTGGATGACCCTATCAGCCTACCACAACATTCCCTGACAGTTTGGATGACCCTATCAGCCTACCACAACATTCCCTGACAGTTTGGATGACCCTATCAGCCTACCACAACATTCCCTGACAGTTTGGATGACCCTATCAGCCTACCACAACATTCCCTGACAGTTTGGATGACCCTATCAGCCTACCACAACATTCCCTGACAGTTTGGATGACCCTATCAGCCTACCACAACATTCCCTGACAGTTTGGATGACCCTATCAGCCTACCACAACATTCCCTGACAGTTTGGATGACCCTGTCAGCCTACCACAACATTCCCCGACAGTTTGGATGACCCTATCAGCCTACCACAACATTCCCTGACAGTTTGGATGACCCTATCAGCCTACCACAACATTCCCTGACAGTTTGGATGACCCTATCAGCCTACCACAACATTCCCTGACAGTTTGGATGACCCTATCAGCCTACCACAACATTCCCTGACAGTTTGGATGACCCTATCAGCCTACCACAACATTCCCTGACAGTTTGGATGACCCTATCAGCCTACCACAACATTCCCTGACAGTTTGGATGACCCTATCAGCCTACCACAACATTCCCTGACAGTTTGGATGACCCTATCAGCCTACCACAACATTCCCTGACAGTTTGGATGACCCTATCAGCCTACCACAACATTCCCTGACAGTTTGGATGACCCTATCAGCCTACCACAACATTCCCTGACAGTTTGGATGACCCTATCAGCCTACCACAACATTCCCTGACAGTTTGGATGACCCTGTCAGCCTACCACAACATTCCCCGACAGTTTGGATGACCCTATCAGCCTACCACAACATTCCCTGACAGTTTGGATGACCCGATCAGCCTACCACAACATTCCCTGACAGTTTGGAAGACCCTGTCAGCCTTCCACAACATTCCCCGACAGTTTGGATGACCCTATCAGCCTACCACAACATTCCCCGACAGTTTGGATGACCCTATCAGCCTACCACAACATTCCCCGACAGTTTGGATGACCCTATCAGCCTACCACAACATTCCCCGACAGTTTGGATGACCCTATCAGCCTACCACAACATTCCCCGACAGTTTGGATGACCCTATCAGCCTACCACAACATTCCCCGACAGTTTGGATGACCCTATCAGCCTACCACAACATTCCCCGACAGTTTGGATGACCCTATCAGCCTACCACAACATTCCCCGACAGTTTGGATGACCCTATCAGCCTACCACAACATTCCCTGACAGTTTGGATGACCCTGTCAGCCTACCACAAAATTCCCCGACAGTTTGGATGACCCTATCAGCCTACCACAACATTCCCCAACAGTTTGGATGACCCTATCAGCCTACCACAACATTCCCTGACAGTTTGGATGACCCTATCAGCCTACCATAACATTCCCCGACAGTTTGGATGACCCTATCAGCCTACCACAACATTCCCTGACAGTTTGGATGACCCGATCAGCCTACCACAACATTCCGTGACAGTTTGGATGACCCTATAAGCCTACGACAACATTCCCTGACAGTTTGGATGACCCTATCAGCATACCACAACATTCCCTGAGAGTTTGGAAGACCTGTATTACCTTTTCTTCTTTAGTTCTGGAAAGGCCACATTGATATCTGGGATGCCTCCATTTTGTGTACTTTCTGATGAATCGGCCTGAAACGTGAAAAGAACTCTGAATTACAGTAAATTATTGATATAATTAATGACCCTCATTTATATACACTAAAACCTCCATATAATGTTCCTAATTTCATTTGCCACCTCGCTCAATATTGATGTATTTCAAGGTTTCCTTTTCTTCCAGTCTTGTAAAGATTTTAGTCTGGACAATACAGACACATAATAAATATAAGATGATACCCCTTATTTTTACATCCGTATTTATGGGACCATAATCACACAGAAATAGGTGATGTATGATACTGATCCTGTGTTATGACTTTAGAAACAGAAGTTCATTATTCTCTTGATGACATCACTTCAATTGCACCGTCATAATGCTCTCTTCCCAAACGCAGTACTTTTATTTGATGATTTTATTATGTTTCATCTTATTTAATGATTAAACACCACAATCTAATATGACAATTAAAGACTTCTATTTCTGTGAATATGCAGTTATATGCACCTGAGAAGTTGTATTGACCTTGAATTTGTCTCGGTCAATATCACTTTCCCAGGTTCATATCGCCACGTATTCACCTCAGCAGTCAATAATTGATAAATAACTTCAGCCAGTCATGAGGTTGTGATGTTTCATGAAACAAGCACACATTGACTTGGTGGACATACAAAGAGATCTAACCATAAAGTAAAGAATGCTGTATTACACATTTTACAATTATGGACTTTTGTTAAGGTGAATATTTGGTGATATGAACCTCAGAAAGAGTTACTGACCAAGACCAAATCTTCACTCACCAATTGTGCTAAATTTGATAACTATTTTTTCATATTATTCCCGACAAGTGATTGGCCAGAAGTCAATCATGTGTCCACAAATAAAAACAGATATTGACTTGGTGCGCATGATTTTTGTTATAGGACTGGGTGTTTCTAAAAATAGAATCATGACGCGACTCCAAACAAACGTATCGTCCCGCTTCCGTAGATTTTTGCTGTAATTTTTTTCAGATTGCTAACATTACTGTTTTGAAAATAATAAAACAATTGTAGCCTTTGACTTCGGTGGATACCTGGATTTATCAACCCGAGAAAAGATGTATTGATCTCGGAATGCGTCCTCTTGTCTATATCTTTTCTCGGGTCGTTAAATCCAGGTATCAACCTCAGCCAAAGGCTATAATAGAATATTATTTGTAAATTAAGTCATTATGAAAAACTGCTAGGTCAGTGGATAACATTATCATATGTGACAAGTTTTGAAGAATCTTTGGCCAAATAACCACAGTGACTATATTTTGTTATAAAGTGTTGTTTTATACTTGGCAGTGTTTTTATTTTCTACAATAATTCTTATATATATATATTGTACAATACTGTACGTAGGAGACAATGAAAAGACTTCAAATCCCAAGGACTGACGTGGGCAAGAAACTCTCCTTAAGTTTACACATGCATGTTCATCTTAAATTGTAATTTGTTTTTAAGTGCTAATCTGGAACCCAGATGAAGTTTAATATATTACTGTACCTGGAGTCTGCTTTCTTGTACAGGTGATACATGACTGCCCCCAGGGATGGAGGGAGGGAGTGTGGGCGGGGCAGGGTATCCCCCTGTCATCCCCCCAGGGTTAAAGCCAGAAAACTGTGCATTTGGAGGTGGAACTGGGGGGTAACCAAGGGAAGGTCCACTGTAACAGAAAATAAAGTGTCAGATTTAGAGATCAAACAAAGAAAGTGCACTATACTTCTATACCACCACAATAAATTGTCTACCAAAATGTGGTCACAAATAATGAAATTACAGTATGGAAACCATTGGCCAACCATATTAAAGGGATACACCTTTCACCTTTTTACTTAATATCGTACTATAAAATATGTTTTTATATACAGCGAACTATTTATATATATCAACTTCATGAAATTTCATGAAATTAGGTTAGAAATCATGAAGTTATGGAGCAGAGACAAACTTGTTACAACTCACCATCAGTCTGTATCACTACTTACTGTGGCTGTGATCGTATCTATCACCAGTCTGTATCACTACTTACTGTGGCTGTGATAGTATCTATCACCAGTCTGTATCACTACTTACTATGGCTGTGATCGTATCTATCACCAGTCTGTATCACTACTTACTATGGCTGTGATCGTATCTATCACCAGTCTGTATCACTACTTACTATGGCTGTGATCGTATCTATCACCAGTCTGTATCACTACTTACTATGGCTGTGATCGTATCTATCACCAGTCTGTATCACTACTTACTATGGCTGTGATCGTATCTATCACCAGTCTGTATCACTACTTACTATGGCTGTGATCGTATCTATCACCAGTCTGTATCACTACTTACTATGGCTGTGATCGTATCTATCACCAGTCTGTATCACTACTTACTATGGCTGTGATCGTATCTATCACCAGTCTGTATCACTACTTACTATGGCTGTGATCGTATCTATCACCAGTCTGTATCACTACTTACTATGGCTGTGATCGTATCTATCACCAGTCTGTATCACTACTTACTATGGCTGTGATCGTATCTATCACCAGTCTGTATCACTACTTACTATGGCTGTGATCGTATCTATCACCAGTCTGTATCACTACTTACTATGGCTGTGATCGTATCTATCACCAGTCTGTATCACTACTTACTATGGCTGTGATCGTATCTATCACCAGTCTGTATCACTACTTACTATGGCTGTGATCGTATCTATCACCAGTCTGTATCACTACTTACTATGGCTGTGATCGTATCTATCACCAGTCTGTATCACTACTTACTATGGCTGTGATCGTATCTATCACCAGTCTGTATCACTACTTACTATGGCTGTGATCGTATCTATCACCAGTCTGTATCACTACTTACTATGGCTGTGATCGTATCTATCACCAGTCTGTATCACTACTTACTATGGCTGTGATCGTATCTATCACCAGTCTGTATCACTACTTACTATGGCTGTGATCGTATCTATCACCAGTCTGTATCACTACTTACTATGGCTGTGATCGTATCTATCACCAGTCTGTATCACTACTTACTATGGCTGTGATCGTATCTATCACCAGTCTGTATCACTACTTACTATGGCTGTGATCGTATCTATCACCAGTCTGTATCACTACTTACTATGGCTGTGATCGTATCTATCACCAGTCTGTATCACTACTTACTATGGCTGTGATCGTATCTATCACCAGTCTGTATCACTACTTACTATGGCTGTGATCGTATCTATCACCAGTCTGTATCACTACTTACTATGGCTGTGATCGTATCTATCACCAGTCTGTATCACTACTTACTATGGCTGTGATCGTATCTATCACCAGTCTGTATCACTACTTACTATGGCTGTGATCGTATCTATCACCAGTCTGTATCACTACTTACTATGGCTGTGATCGTATCTATCACCAGTCTGTATCACTACTTACTATGGCTGTGATCGTATCTATCACCAGTCTGTATCATTACTTACTGTGGCTGTGATCGTATCTATCACCAGTCTGTATCATTACTTACTATGACTGTGATCGTATCTATCACCAGTCTGTATCACTACTTACTATGGCTGTGATCGTATCTGTGGTGGGTTTTTCTTGAATTCTTCAACAACAGAATGCACTGCTTGGCCAAGACTAGAATGCATGGAAAACTGAAACATGAAAAAATGATAATTTAACATCAATACCTGTAGGCAATAATCACATTAAATTGTAACATTACACTAGAGATAATTGGGAAACCTAATCATTTAAATGTGTTATAACAATTTCCATTTCCTAATGTTTCTACATAAATCCTGGACATTGTTTGGTATATAATACATTATTGACTCTCTAGAGAGGATCAGTGTGATCTACAATGTGTGAAGCTACAGCCAGAACAATATACACAGATCATAAACTATACACATCAATCATGAGACACACAGAACATAACATACACACAAGACAACTCCTACACACAGGACAAAACACAGTGATGTAATACATACACACAGGACAGAACACACATAGGGGTGTGTAATCCATACACACAGGACACCTCCTACACACAGGACAACTCCTACACACAGGACAACTCCTACACACAGGACAAAACACAAACAGTGATGCAATACATACACACAAGACAGAACACACATAGGGGTGTGTAATCTATACACACAGGACATAACACACATAGGGGTGTGTAATCCATACACACAGGACACCTCCTACACACAGGACAAAACACAAACAGGGATGCAATACATACACACAAGACAGAACACACATAGGTGTGTGTAATCCATACACACAGGACAGAACACAAATAGGGGTGTGTAATCCATACACACAAGACAACTCCTACACACGGGACAAAACACAGTGATGTAATACATACACACAGAACAGAACACACATAGGGGTGTGTAATCCATACACACAGGACACCTCCTACACACAGGACAACTCCTACAAACAGGACAAACCACAAACAGTGATACAATCCATACACACAAGACAGAACACACATAGGTGTGTGTAATCCATACACACAGGACAGAACACACATAGGGGTGGGTAATACATACACACAGGACATAACATACACACAGGATAACTTCTACACACAGGATAAAACACACACAGTGATGTAATACATACACACAGGACATAACAGACACACAGGATAACTTCTACACACAGGATAAAACACATACAGTGATGTAATACAGACACACAGGACAGAACACACATAGGGGTGTGCAATACATACACACAGGGCAGAACACACATAGGGGTGTGTAATCTATACACACAGGACGGAACATACATAGGGGGGTGTAATACATACACACAGGACAGAACAACCATAGGGGGTGTAATACATACACACAGGACATAACAGACACACAGGATAACTTCTACACACAGGATAAAACACATACAGTGATGTAATACAGACACACAGGACAGAACACACATAGGGGTATGTAATACATACACACAGGACAGAACAACCATAGGGGGTGTAATACATACACACAGTACAGAACACAGATAGGGGTGTGTAATACATACACACAGGACATAACACACATCGGGGTGTGTAATACATACACACAGGACATAACATACACACAGGATAACTTCTACACACAGGATAAAACACAAACAGTGATGTAATACATACACACAGGACAGAACACACATAGGGGTGTGTAATACATACACACAGGACATACCATACACACAGGACAACTCTTACACACAGGACAAACACAAACAAGGGATATAATACACACAATGTAACTCCTAAACACAGAATGTAATCCCTTCACATGGGACATAACCCACACATGGGACTTAACTCTTATACACATGAGTTAGACCACAGAGGGGACATACACATGCAAAGTAAAATCTGAAAAATTGAGGACAACAGATTTATGTATCAGAAGATAAAATTAGTTAAGTACACCAATAAAGCATCATTTGAAGTAACATTTGAGCTGTTTTGATAGTCATGTTTTCTGTTGCCTTACAGAGTTGAGATTTTGACAGCCGACAATCTTCTGAGTTGGGTCTACCCATGGGTGAACCACAGGAGGAGTGACTGTTACTGTTGGGGGATCCTGGGGGAACTGTGGGGGCAGGGATCTGTAAAGTAACGTTTTACAGCTTTAAAAGGGGGAGCACCTGGCTGCACACAAACAGCACAATGAAGTTTTTATATACAAAACATGGTTATAACAAAGCCCTGGTAACTTGGTAAGGCAAGAATTATTTCATCAGGCGCTTCTTTTACAATGATTACGATTCATAATTAAATTAAATGCCAAGGGACAAATACCGGGGACTTTGTCATAAACATAATTTTGTATTATTTTAATGATCATGTTAAACTACATTTACAAAAACACATTGGTTAACTGTACTTCCAACTTCAAGGTTGACCTTATAATTAGGGTAATATCTATTTAAGAGTTTTTGACCATTCCATACAGTATTGTAATTCTTTTTCTTCATTTCTGGTTTTATACACACACAAAAAAAAGAGTTCCAAAATGAGACAGAATTCCCCATCTTGATTTTCTGTTATCATGACTATCAAAAGTTAAGAGTCAACCTGTTTGCTGCCCTAACAGAATAAGTTATGTACTTACATTATCAGTATGATGTTGTTCCCTCCACACTGACAGGGAACCCTGTATTCTGTGTTGGGTATAGACTCTATTGGACTGAAACCAAGACAGTTTAGAAAATCATTCATCGGCAATACCTAATCATAGCGCTTGACCATCTCATCAAATTTCATGTACTTAGTTTGATTATTATCTATCAATGCAATGACTTCAGGAAATCAAACCAGAACACTGATCCTTCTTTTAGTTCTCATTTTCTGATCTACAAGTACAATTTCTGGAATGTCATAAGTCTGATTTGAGATCTTAAACTATCCTCACCAAATTTATCTTCACCAACACCTTCAAATAAGGCTGATTTATTTTTTATCTGCCAGTTGTGGAAATTCCAAGCAATACTTACATGTCATTACATTTTTGTTTCTGTCATCATTTACTCAATCAAACATTTTTCTCCTTTTTATTTTCATAAATTAAACCTCTCACACGTTTTTGTTCACAAACTTGTTTCTTTGAACTCTTTCAGTGCTTTCCGATTGCCTTTTTACTTTTCTCAATGCCTGTCTGTTGTGTTTTTCCCTCCCTTAATCGTAATAGTTTAGCCATCAAACTGTCAGCTTCGAATTCACTCTTTGAGAGTTGTTTTGGCTGACTTAAATTAAAGCTTATGTTCTTCAAACTTGTTTCACCTAAATATCTGTAAAATGTCTGAATTTGTGTCATCTTTTTTGCTTTAATCAGAAAGCTTAACAGCAACAGCTGCTTTGAGTCAGACATCGTGTTGTTAATATATACTTAACTATGACAGGATTAATATTTGAAACATTTGACCTGGTGATGTCACAGGAGTTCCGAATAACAGCAAAAATGAGTGGCGATTATGTAAAATGAAGGATGGATTGAGTTGGGTTTCAAAATTTTTATGTACACAGGAGATTTTCCATAATTTTTTATACTTATTCTGTTTCTGTAAAATTAAGTTATGATATCAGCAGAAAATAGTACTTGTCCGTCAGACAACTAACTCTGAAAAATCTAGTTATCTAAGACAATTTTCTCTTGTCCATGATGACCAAACAAGTGCTTTTTTGGTCTCCTGGATAGTCAGCTTTTTAGTTTCAGTAAGGAACATCTGGACCCATCGATGTACATTAGCCTGAGTTTCCTCTGGCCCTAACACCAGACTTAGACATTTTGACATATAGATGTCTTGTGTGGTGCCAGAGCATACTGCTATATGAAAACATGGAATTCTCAGACACTGTTTGGTATCAGAAAGTTATGAGGTGCTGCAACAAAAATCTACTGTGACACAACATATACCTTACATCGGTTATTTATGGATCCAAATCAGCTCTTTTTATCACCAAGGCTGAGCATACACCATTTTTGTAGGTCATGGGCCGGGGCCCCCAGGGTTACTAATCAACAAACCGTACTGATCCAGACCGAAAATAGAATATATTATTCTTGTTTAGAAGATTTTTGGGCCATGTCTTTTTGTTGATTAATCACTCCCTGATACCAAACGGTGTCAGAGAATTCAGCATTTTCATATAGCAGTGCGCTCTGGCCCCGCATCAGACATCTATATGTCAAAATGTCTAAGTCTGGTGTTAGGGCCAGAGGAAACTCGGACTATAGATGTGCATGTGCCTCATTTTCCTGAGGTCAGCCTTGGTTCAGATCTGATCCTGTCGTTTTCGTCTCAGGGCCAGTTGGTACTCCAACAGTGTAAGAGGTTAACACAAAGAGATACTTATGACAGGCGCCGTGTAACAGTCGACAAAATCATATCCGCTAGAAAAAAGGCTGACCAGCGGCCTGTTATGTTTTAGGAGAAGGCCAGTTGGAATTGTACACCCCTGTAAGGGAAGGGGAAATCCCCAACTATGTGGGGAATGTCTTTTTTATAGGACTGCTGATAGTCACCCTTAGCTATCTAACCCACAAAATATCCTCTACTCAAATATCAAAAGCATCACCCAAAAGGTGGAACATATCATATAAATTGCTATTTCTAACACACACGTGTTGATAAGATGAGATTTATCGTAATGGCTAAAAATAGGCATTTTTATAAAATGTCATGTTGTCAATTGTTAATGTTTACTAAACTTTAGTAACATTTACTGCAGAAAAGCTTGAAGTGAAACACATTTACTTCCTTTCGACGAAAACACTTACTTCAAGTTGTTCTTTTTTAAGGAATCAATTTGTTTTGCTCTGTGAGCCTGAAGGTTCGTCTGTGAAGGTACATTTGTCTTAGGTTTACTCCCAAACCAGTTCATTTTCGCTTTTGGTAATAACCGGAAGTCGCTCTACGTCATCGATTATTGGGCTGAAATTAACTTCCTGTTCAGATGCGCAGTCGGCGATCGCGGACAGGAATATCACAAAGACATGTAGCCCTCATAAAATACTGCTCTACATGCTTATTGATATAGTTTAGTTGTGGTAGGTATATTCAAATAGTTTCGTTCTTTAAAAGTGTTTTGTTTCTTTCAGAGCTTGCTTCCATTCAGTGCAACTGGAACACACTTTCTAATGCACGCACGCGACACTCTTTGACTCGGATTTTGCGAAGTGGTAAAATAATCACACACAGCTTTCTGCAGAACATCTTTTTGTCCATACACCCATCATTTATTGTATTGAATTGTTGTTTTGTAAATGTAAAGCAATCCAACCATATATGGTTTCCTGGAATAGCTGTACGGGAGAAGTGTATACGGTAAAAATATTCTGGACAAAATTGAAGAGCGTCCAAGTGGATTCGACATTAGGCTGTAGGAATGTTATTCAATTAATGTGCCTATGTGAAAATACTGAAACGTCGATGGCTCTATTCAATGATAATTTCAGATTTGAAGCGGAAAGTGGTCTTATCCTCAGTTGCAAGACTGTCAATTGCCAGTGAAACTTTACTGTAAAGTAAAACCATGTCCAAATTGAAAAAGGCAAATTTAAGTACAGATGTTCAGAGGAGACGATCTCGAGAGCTTAAGCTTCCAAACACCCATGTGTCATTCCTTAATTTGTGGATGTATCAAGCGAAACTGAACAGTTAACCGCATCTCCTTCAAATTATGAAAGAAGGGAAGAATTTTTCATAATTTTTTTTTTTCAAAAGCTGTCAATGCAAGGAATTGTGTCTATCAGTGTATATGCATTTATTTGTATATCTCTCAAGTCAAGTGAACATTCACCATAAGCTTGTATGGAACCTGTCCATGCTAAAGTTAAGCTACAATGCATGTGCAATGCAACTTCCCAGGACACAGTTGAACAAAAGACTTTGGGATATTTTATTTGCTCCTGAAACAATTCAGAATACAAACCTATGTTGAATCTATGTATACTGTATATATATGTATGCAGAAGTTATTATACATTTTTCCTTAAATGGTGTTATTAATCAGTGACACTGCGAACAAAATTACTAATTTGTCTTTTGATATTCATAAGTTATATGTAGACCACAATTATTTTTGGTATGCAAATGAACCTCAAAATTTACAAATATTAGCTAGTTTTTAAGATATATATTCCTGATTTTTATTTTATTTTTCAAGACATTATTATAACTGCTCTTTGTGCTATTTTTTTTTTACTTTGTCAAATGCATCATGACTAACTGGTACCAACAGATGATCCAGACTTCAAGTTTGCACTTCTGAAGACGATGCATACATTTTTTCTTTTGCATATCTAATAAACTAATTATAATACATATGTGTCCTACTATTTCCAAACGATTTATGCTAATTGTTCACTGCATCACTTTGCCTGTATTGCATATATCTATTTGGAGAATGTTATAACTGATTCGTGATTTTTGTTCCAGGAAACAAATCATTAACGGAATAGAAGACTTTGGCACTGACAAGGGAGCTGTCTGAGGGTGGTGTTGCCAGATATGCTGCGAGCATGCCATCAATAGCACAAACAGAGTATGGTATCAAGGATGTGTGGCAAAATAATCTAGAAGAGGAATTCAGGAAAATCAGACATGTCGTCACCAAATACAGATATGTTGCTATGGTAATCAACTAATCATGTTATCAATTTGAGAGTAGTCTTCCTAAGTTCTATTTGGTTGAGTTATGCTTTCTGAATGTATAATGAAGGAAACACAATGGGTCAAATCTTCAAACCAAATGAAAGATTTTAACTGAACCAAAGTTAAGTGTTAATAAATTGATTAATACGTATATAGAGGTTCCCTAATTGATGAATACGTATACAGAGGTTCCCTAACGAGTGATGGTTGGAAATCATGTTTATCTAAGTCTAGTTAGTTATTTTTCAAATTGTATAAAGACACAAGGTTTACCAAGTGTCTTTCATGGTTTGAGAATTAGATAAACATGATTATCAACCATCACACGGTAAGGTACCTTTGTCTCCCACAACATTCAGATATTATATGTAGTAGGGGGCTGCAACGGTAAGAAATAACGACAGTCGGATAACTGTGTGTGCTTATCCAAACCGAATACGGGTAACAATGTTTTTTGTGTCATGAAATACAGTCAACAATGGCCCTTTTTGACAAAAACATCGTTACTTGATGCATAAACAAAGATATTAAGTAATTACTTGTGCCTCATAAATACAGTTGTAAAACATTGTAAATTCTTACAATCTTTATATTTACATTTCCACTGTAAGTTCCTCTATGAGCATTACTCTAATAAATTGTGTTGCCTGGAATAACAAGAGACAACCGCTAGAAGCAAACATTTTGATGACGTTAGGCTGTTCCAGGAATATCTTTGCACTGATGTTATAAATACTTCAAAATCAGATTTATAAGGGATATCTATATTTATGTCAACACCAAATAAAAAAAATCCTAATGTAATTAAATACAAGGATTCAACAGCCTTTTTTTCAATGTTCATGCCAGTATAAATGTCAATCAGTTACAAACATATTTACTAGCAGGCTTCATAGAATATGTATGTAACTGATTTGTGCTCATACTAGCAAGAAATTGTGTTATCAGCGCTATGCGCACATATTTCTGTGCATCATTTCCGGTCGGAACACAAAAATTGGTAAATGATAAGTTACATTTTTCTACAAAACGTCCGTCAATATTATGTTTACATTCAAAGTTTATTGAATACATGCACTCAATGGTAAAGCATGTATACTGATTACAATTGCTTTCGAGGCCTGTCAGACAGCAGACAGCTGGAGCGACATTTCTGACTGGAAAAATCAATAAATATTAACCTACATTTTGGGACGGTTTTCGGGTACGTAGATTTGCTAACTACACGTAACCGAATGGCAGCTGTGTACTCGGTTATTGTTTCAGCCCTAATAAATATAACCTAGAAAACAACTGTTTCTCTATGTAATTCATTATCCCTGTTTCCAATGGAAAGATGACGTCCCAGAACATTGTTACATGATGTCCTAATTAGAAGACTGACCAATGAAATACACCTAGGATGTTACCCACCATGTTTACCAACTCTAGCAGGTCTATTCAATGAGTGGGGAGTGAGTTAACCTACAATGGTTTGTGGGAGAACCGTGTTTTACCTTCACTCTGTGTATAAGTAAAATGCTGCTGATATACTAAACAAAATGCATGTTCTTATATAATCTACATATTATGTTCATGTAACTAAATTCTTTATTTCTAGGACACAGAGTTTCCGGGCGTTGTTGCCCGTCCCATTGGAGAGTTCAGAAGTACAGCAGATTACTCATACCAGTTACTAAGGTGTAACGTAGATCTGCTCAAGATTATTCAAGTTGGAGTCACATTTCAAAATGAGTTGGGTGAAACCCCAGAGCCGGTATCAACATGGCAGTTCAACTTCAAATATAATCTCACGTAAGGTTTCACTTATAGCATACAGAGTTTAGAATAATCTCATAAAACATCACAACTATTATTATAAATTTATTATTAATCAACATTTCATAAGAAGTACAGAAATGTTATAAAGTTCAGCAAATCAACACTGTTTCAACACATATTGCTTAAGTATGTAGTTGTGTAATTTATGCAATATCTCTCTCTAACCTAGTACCTTTTTAACTGCAACATTTGGTCCCATACATTCTCATTTGTGAATGTTGAAGGATGCTTTTATGATTTTGTGCATACCGACTTGGAGATTACACAGTTGGAGCGTGGGTATCTACTGAGCTCTGCTTAGTGACATCTAGTTTGTCATGGTCACTGCAATGGTTGGATAATAAGGAACAAATAGACATATTAACTGACACCTTTGACACCAGTGCTCTGTCTTTCCAAAACCTAGCTGGAACGTTGACAGAAATATTGTTACATACTTAAGTGTATATTTCTCTTCCAAAAGCTGATACTGTTTTCATCTTGTTTTTGCATTAGCTTTCTCCCATTTTGAGAATGTTTTTAATTGAATTGAATAATACAGGATGAAGGCCTAAATACTCTAGGTCAACAAATATTCAACGAATAGTTCATGGGAGTGTCAATAACAGCATTATAAATATGTGATAAATAGTCTGATTGCAGGGTTCTCCCTAGACATAGGAGTGTCAATAACAGCATTATAGATAGGTAATAAATAGTCTGATTGCAGGGTTCTCCCCAGACATAGGAGTGTCAATAACAGCATTATAGATAGGTAATAAATAGTCTGATTGCAGGGTTCTCCCCAGACATAGGAGTGTCAATAACAGCATTATAGATAGGTAATAAATAGTCTGATTGCAGGGTTCTCCCCAGACATAGGAGTGTCAATAACAGCATTATAGATAGGTAATAAATAGTCTGATTGCAGGGTTCTCCCCAGACATAGGAGTGTCAATAACAGCATTATAGATAGGTAATAAATAGTCTGATTGCAGGGTTCTCCCCAGACATAGGAGTGTCAATAACAGCATTATAGATAGGTAATAAATAGTCTGATTGCAGGGTTCTCCCCAGACATAGGAGTGTCAATAACAGCATTATAGATAGGTAATAAATAGTCTGATTGCAGGGTTCTCCCCAGACATAGGAGTGTCAATAACAGCATTATAGATAGGTAATAAATAGTCTGATTGCAGGGTTCTCCCCAGACATAGGAGTGTCAATAACAGCATTATAGATAGGTAATAAATAGTCTGATTGCAGGGTTCTCCCCAGACATAGGAGTGTCAATAACAGCATTATAGATAGGTAATAAATAGTCTGATTGCAGGGTTCTCCCCAGACATAGGAGTGTCAATAACAGCATTATAAATAGGTGATAAATAGTCTGATTGCAGGGTTCTCCCCAGACATAGGAGTGTCAATAACAGCATTATGTATATGTAATAAATAGTCTGATTGCAGGGTTCTCCCTAGACATAGGAGTGTCAATAACAGCATTATAAATAGGTAATAAATAGGTTGATTGCAGGGTTCTCCCCAGACATAGGAGTGTCAATAACAGCATTATACATAGGTAATAAATAGTCTGATTGCAGGGTTCTCCCCAGATATTTAAGCTGATATGTTTCATTTTCAACGAACGAAACAGACATGCTCATATAACATCTTACAGTATCTTATTAAATTTAAGGGGGGAGGGGGGTAATATTATGATTGAATAGGTACTTTTATTTACCAAACTTTTGATGACCTTTTCAAACCAAAGAAAGAAATGTGTTCCTTATGTCTGAATTTTAGCAACATTATTGTTTTAAATATTCTAAAAAAATACAATTTATAGAAAGGTGTATGAGTTTTATACATTGAATAATAGATATGGTATTTGTTTCTTATCTTTTCATTTGTATCCCTTACTTTTATCTCATTTTAAAATAATTTAAGGAAGAAGAATTTAAGAGCTGTTAATGTTAGATGGGGGAAACACTTACATGATTATTTTTATATCACAGTTCCTATTATGGTAAGGGTAAATATTTCAATAAAATGTAGTGTTTTTATTTCCTCTAAAACTGTAATAAATACTGCTGTCAGTAAATTTGATCAAAGTCTAAAACAGCATTTTTAATTGGGCCCCTTCTTCCTTAAAAACAACAAATCAGGATTTTCATTCCGTATTCTGGTCTGTACTTTACTCAATCCAAGATGTCGATTATCACTAACTGAATACACACACTATTTCAGCGTTATCAAATGCAATCATATGTGAATAAATTAATTTATAATAGCTGTATCAAGTGTTTGTTTTGTTAATCCTACAGTAGTTACTTCAAATAAACACCTATTGACCATGTTAAAAGGATCTGGTGGTAATTGCTTTAGGCTCCAGTGAGGATGCTTGCCGGATGCCTGTGGGCTGTCGTCCAGTCCCCCTCCCCACTAATTACAGGCCCCCTGGGGCAATACGCCTATCTTGAAACTGACCAGTGGGGTCATTGCTGGAGTTGGGTCAGCCTTGTGATTTAATCAGTGTCAATTTCTTGTGTAAAAAGACCACCTTCAGTACAAATAACAAGGTGATACGGTTCATAGTCTAAGGTGATACTGGTTAATTAAGCTGATACGGCAGGGAGGGTTTCAAACTGAAGCTGATACGGAGTCGTATCAGCTAAATGGCCTGGGGAGAACCCTGGATTGTGTTTCATGTATCATAGATTGTTTCTTTAAAATGTTCATCAATTAACAGTTCAAGCTCCGTTACTGTTTAACCACCAACAACATGTACTGGTAGCCTGATCCACACATCTACTACTCTAACAACATGTACAGGTAGCCTGATCCACACATCTACTACTCTAACAACATGTACAGGTAGCCTGATCCACACATCTACTACTCTAACAACATGTACAGGTAGCCTGATCCACACATCTACTACTCTAACAACATGTACAGGTAGCCTGATCCACACATCTACTACTCTAACAACATGTACAGGTAGCCTGATCCACACATCTACTACTCTAACAACATGTACAGGTAGCCTGATCCACACATCTACTACTCTAACAACATGTACAGGTAGCCTGATCCACACATCTACTACTCTAACAACATGTACAGGTAGCCTGATCCACACATCTACTACTCTAACAACATGTACAGGTAGCCTGATCCACACATCTACTACTCTAACAACATGTACAGGTAGCCTGATCCACACATCTACTACTCTAACAACATGTACAGGTAGCCTGATCCACACATCTACTACTCTAACAACATGTACAGGTAGCCTGATCCACACATCTACTACTCTAACAACATGTACAGGTAGCCTGATCCACATATCTACTACTCTAACAACATGTACAGGTAGCCTGATCCACACATCTACTACTCTAAATGGAAAGGAGTTTCTCCTTATCTCTGTGTTGCATCATTTCTGTACTTTTTGTGGTTGTGACCACATGTTCTTCCATTTATATAAAAATATGAAAATTTGTATAACTTCCCTTTGTTGACATAGAAGAATCCTATATTATTACTTTTGTTGACAAAGAATAATTCTATATTATTACCTTTGTTGATATAGAAGAATCCTATATTATTACTTTTGTTGACAATGAGGAATTCTATATTATTACTTTTGTTGACATAGAAGAATCCTCTATTATTACTTTTGTTGACATAGAAGAATTCTATATTATTACTTTTGTTGACAAAGAAGAATCCTGTATTATTACCTTTGTTGACATAGAAAAATCCTATATTATTACTTTTGTTGACAAAGAAGAATCCTATATTATTACTTTTGTTGACATAGAACAATCCTAAATTATTACTTTTGTTGACATAGAAGAATTCTATATTATTACTTTTGTTGACAAAGAAGAATCCTGTATTATTACCTTTGTTGACATAGAAGAATCCTATATTATTACCTTTGTTGACATAGAAGAATCCTGTATTATTACCTTTGTTGACATAGAAAAATCCTATATTATTACTTTTGTTGACAATGAAGAATTCTATATTATTACTTTTGTTGACATAGAACAATCCTAAATTATTACTTTTGTTGACATAGAAGAATCCTCTATTATTACTTTTGTTGACATAGAAGAATTCTATATTATTACTTTTGTCGACATAGAAGAATCCTATATTATTACTTTGGTTGACAAAGAAGAATCCTATATTATTACTTTTGTTGACAAAGAAGAATCCTGTATTATTACCTTTGTTGACATAGAAAAATCCTATATTATTACTTTTGTTGACAATGAGGAATTCTATATTATTACTTTTGTTGACACAGAAGAATCCTATATTATTACTTTTGTTGACAATGAGGAATTCTATATTATTACTTTTGTTGACACAGAAGAATCCTATATTATTACTTTTGTTGACATCGAAGAATCCTATATTATTACTTTTGTTGACATAGAACAATCCTAAATTATTACTTTTGTTGACATAGAAGAATCCTGTATTATTACCTTTGTTGACATAGAAAAATCCTATATTATTACTTTTGTTGACAATGAGGAATTCTATATTATTACTTTTGTTGACATAGAACTCTAACAACATGTACTGGTAGCCTGATCCACACATCTACTACTCTAACAACATGTACTGGTAGCCTGATCCACACATCTACTACTCTAACAACATGTACAGGTAGCCTGATCCACCCATCTACTACTCTAACAACATGTACAGGTAGCCTGATACACATATCTACTAATCTAACAACATGTACAGGTAGCCTGATACACATATCTACTAATCTAACAACATGTACAGGTAGCCTGATCCACATATCTACTACTCTAACAACATGTACAGGTAGCCTGATACACATATCTACTAATCTAACAACATGTACAGGTAGCCTGATCCACCCATCTACTACTCTAACAACATGTACAGGTAGCCTGATACACATATCTACTAATCTAACAACATGTACAGGTAGCCTGATACACATATCTACTAATCTAACAACATGTACAGGTAGCCTGATCCACATATCTACTACTCTAACAACATGTACAGGTAGCCTGATACACATATCTACTAATCTAACAACATGTACAGGTAGCCTGATCCACCCATCTACTACTCTAACAACATGTACAGGTAGCCTGATACACATATCTACTAATCTAACAACATGTACAGGTAGCCTGATACACATATCTACTAATCTAACAACATGTACAGGTAGCCTGATCCACATATCTACTACTCTAACAACATGTACAGGTAGCCTGATACACATATCTACTAATCTAACAACATGTACAGGTAGCCTGATACACATATCTACTAATCTAACAACATGTACAGGTAGCCTGATCCATACATCTACTACTCTAAATGGAAAGGAGTTTCTCCTTTTCTCTGTGTTGCATCATTTCTGTACTTTTTGTGGTTGTGACCACATGTTCTTCCATTTATATAAAAATATGAAAATTTGTATAACTTCCATTTGTTGACATAGAAGAATCCTATATTATTACTTTTGTTGACATAGAAGAATCCTGTATTATTACCTTTGTTGACATAGAAAAATCCTATATTATTACTTTTGTTGACATCGAAGAATCCTATATTATTACTTTTGTTGACATCGAAGAATCCTATATTATTACTTTTGTTGACATCGAAGAATCCTATATTATTACTTTTGTTGACAAAGAAGAATCCTGTATTATTACCTTTGTTGACATAGAAAAATCCTATATTATTACTTTTGTTGACATCGAAGAATCCTATATTATTACTTTTGTTGACAAAGAAGAATCCTATATTATTACTTTTGTTGACATAGAACAATCCTAAATTATTACTTTTGTTGACATAGAAGAATCCTGTATTATTACCTTTGTTGACATAGAAAAATCCTATATTATTACTTTTGTTGACAAAGAAGAATCCTGTATTATTACCTTTGTTGACATAGAAAAATCCTATATTATTACTTTTGTTGACATAGAACAATCCTAAATTATTACTTTTGTTGACATAGAAGAATCCTCTATTATTACTTTTGTTGACATAGAAGAATCCTCTATTATTACTTTTGTTGACATAGAAGAATCCTATATTATTACTTTTGTTGGCAGAGAGGACATGTATGCCCAAGAATCCATAGATCTCCTCCAGAACTCGGGAATCCAATTTGAAAAGCACATTAATGATGGAATCGATGTTAACGACTTTGCAGAGCTTTTAATGACATCTGGAATTGTATTGAATGAGGAGATTAAATGGTTATCCTTCCACAGGTAAAATAATAGGACTAGATATGTTGTAATGAAGAAAACTTTGAGGGATGTACAGGATTGCTTGGTTGTTTTATGTCTTCACAATATCTAAGGTCTTGTGAAGACTAGTATACCTGAATCTGTGCAGTCGTCTGACTGTTTCCGTACTCAATAAACTTCACACCAATATATTTCCCACCAAGACCCTGTTTCCAAACTCAATAAACTTCATACCAACATATTTTCCACCAAGACCCTGTTTCCGTACTCAATAAACTTCACACCAACATAGTTCCCACCAAGACCCTGTTTTCTTTTCTTATTTAACTTCAAACACATACCCTACTTCTACTTTTAAACAATCATTAATAAAAACAGGGGTATGAATGATGCAAGACATTTAATTTATTTACAAACTTGATGCAATGTTGTAGCATCTGCCATCTGAACATCTTCAACTCTTTCTATAAACTATTTCAAAAGATCCATCAGGCCTATATAAGTAATGTTTGGTCTGCAACTTGTTGAAATAGTTTTAATTCATGCTTTGTCATTTGATATTGGTTCAATATTAGGTATTTGGATTGAATTTATATTCCAACAATGGAGGAAAGGAAGCTTTATAAGAAGACTAAAAAAATCATATATTTGTAATATTGAAATAAGATGAATTGTTGCTGAATTAAGAAATTTGTAGTAATAAAAATGGTGTTTGAAAGTTCTAATTAATCTAAATTTCAGTGGGTATGACTTTGGTTATCTGCTGAAGATGTTGACAGACTCCAAGCTGCCACGGGAAGAATCTGACTTTTTCGAGATGTTACGTATTTATTTCCCTAATATTTACGATGTCAAGTATCTGATGAAGAGCTGTAAAAATCTCAAAGGTGGTCTCCAGGAGGTGGCTGAACAGCTGGAGGTGAGCAGCAAGTTAAGGAATGATAATAGTGTTTTAGTTTCTATTTAATACATGCAAAATCAGCTGTTTAGAAACTCCCAGGTTTGCAGTGCAGAAGAAACTCCAAATTAAGGCCGATATATCATCGGTTCTACATTGAATCGTAGATAATTTCATTTCCCTCACGACAATTACATTGAAATTCATAGTTGTTGAACCATTGAAATAATTGGGCTGATGTTATTCACACTAATGAATATGTAGGAGAAAGAGTTTGATAACAGCATGCAAAGATTTAATTGTTTTGAAGAATAAGCAATATCAGAGTAAACTACTTTAATAAGGAAGAGTTATGCCTCTTTGTGTACAAAAAAGACAGTTCTGGACAACTTTTTCTTTTGAAAAGCTGGTCCAAACTACTGTATAGTTTTCTGTGAAATTTCCTTCTTTCCTTTAATATACATATACACTGCTGGGATTTATGAGTCTGATGCTGACTGTGGTCAGAAACACAAGGATATATCAGTGCTCTTGATGTGATTTAATATTGAGAGAATTAAACTCTGACTGTGTTTTATTGTAATTTCAGATTGAGAGAATAGGGCCGCAGCATCAAGCTGGTAGTGATAGTTTATTAACGGGAGCAGCGTTCTTCAAAATGAGAGAGGTATAACTTCACATGACCACTTACCCATTGAAAAAGATTGCTATGATATTTGAGATAAAGGAACTTATTAGAGATTCACTTCTGTTTGATTATTGTGGTTTGCATCAGCAATCATTATGTCAGTGACCCTTTTATTGTCTTATCAGTGTTCAATAACTGACATAGGACAGTGGAAATGTACAAGGGTGTAGGGCAGCTAGCTTTGAAAAAATATCTGAAATCAGAAAAATCTGTCTGAAACATTCACTGTATGAGATAAAATCAGCTTGTTATTGACATGTTGCTATATATGTTAGAGACATTGTTGGTGTTTATTTGATGCTGTTGTACTTCAATAATTGTAAACTTTATTTTGGTTCAGATGTTCTTTGAAGATAACATAGACGATGTGAAGTATTGTGGCCATCTGTATGGACTAGGGACCTCCTATGTGCAGAATGGCGCTGGCTACGATAGCATTAGCCTGCTCCATCAGAATCACACGAATGTGGCAGCAACAGGGTCGGAAGATACGAACTCCACGACCACCAACTCATAGGACTTAACATGATGATAGATATAACCGTCGGCAGCATTTTGGAATATCACCATGGAGACAGGAGTGGTTGGTAAAACTGACGGGTCACGGATTGCCATGGCAGCTAAACGATTTGGACCTGCGGGACATGCGGACAGAGTGTCCGAGGGAAGGCTGTGTCACACATAGCCAGCCACTTTCTAACTGTGATATTAATTTGAAACAGGGACATTATTTCAATCTCATGCTTATAACATATTTCCTGCTCCTCCTGTGTTTGCAAGGTTTTTATCCTGATTGTATTGTGGGTTGCCAGACAGTATGTAGAATCCCATTGTCAGGACTTCTCCATGACAAATGTTCTCATATTGACCTTTCACGTGACGAGGAGAAGGAATCTTTCATTGCTGACGTTCCAAAATGTTGCTCATGCTTAGCAGCAAAACTTAATCTTAACAAGGTCAAATCTCCCTGAACTGTGCTTGGACAGGTGCCAAATGCTACAGGTCATACTTATAGCTGACGTTTTAAATGTCAATGTTCAAAGTTTTGATTTGTACATTGCTTTGTACTCTAATTTGGCTTAGTTTCCTGATAGGTCTATTGTTTTTAACTGCAAGTAGACTTTCCGGTTCATACTTGTACATAGCTTAGTACTGTATTGTAACAAAAACTTATTATTTTCCGATACCTTGAAGATAGAATTTTGCTGCTAAACAATTCATCACTGTAGTATTTTCACTCATTAATCATTGAAATGTAATTAGGCATGGGACTCAACGTTATCTCTACAGTCGGGGTCATTCACTTTATCCCAGAAACTCATTTGTCCTCTTGTATCTGTGAACAATTCTTACCTGGCATTCCACCACCTCCCAACAAACTGCCACGCTCAGTTGAACAAAAGACACTGTAACAGACTTTGTACATCTTACTTCACTTGTAGGGTGCAGTGTCATTTGCCGAACGTGAGTAAAGGCCTTTCCTCCTCATTTCACAGTCTGATAGGAAGTCATAGTTACCCAGTGGATAGCTGGTGTGGTGACCGTGTTTGGAGGGGTGGAATACTGGTGTAGAATGTCATACAAATCTTGCTTAGATTTTTTGCTAATATTTTGCTGAAGTATGCTGTGAATTGATACATACTTTGATACTGTTTTATGAAATAAGATTTTAACCCAGTACAGAATGTGTTAAAAAGTACTGTATCCCAGGAAAAAGTTCACCCTTCACTGGTCAAATCTAGGCCTGCCCAGGGTTCACAGTTGAAATAATCAATGCAACAAAACTACAGAGGGTAAAAGGGCTAGTGTAACTTCTCTGAACATTTCCTGGTATACTGTAGTTTAAACTCGAATGCCTGTATACCGTCTACTTGTACCTAGAGAATGTCTCTCCTGACAAGGGCTGTATAGAAGTAACATTGATTCCTGTTGTTTCTGTTAGAACTCGTGAATTATTGGTACTGATCAAATAACACGCCTGCATGTCTCACAGTCAACTGTCTTATTTGATATATGTATATCTGTTAATGGCAGAAACATCGGACTAAGACTGCAGGTCTGTTACAGTACTAAATGTTTACCATTCAAACTGCTCGGGAAACAAAGTAATTGTCAGTACTTACAACCTCCATGTGACTGGTATATAGGACTATTGACTGACTGAACAAGATCAACTCTGATAGAAATCCTAATGCATTTTATATTACAAAATAATTGGTCAATTTTTTATAAGGCCTACCTATAATATTTCGTTTACTTCTGAAAATAGCAATGGGATTTTTGAAACGAAAACTTTCAACTTCAAATGAAGTGTTTTTCGGTTAATGTTTTTATGTTAATTCAAAAGTTTGCATTTTTTCTCAGTCTTATATAAAAATAATCTGGGAAAGTGCAAATTTACCTCAGTAGTAGTGATCATTCTTGATAGGGTGCATAGCTTGTCAGTCCTATAAAACATTGATAGGGTGCATAGCTTGTCAGTCCTATAAAACATTGATAGGGTGCATAGCTTGTCAGTCCTATAAAACATTGATAGGGTGCATAGCTTGTCAGTCCTATAAAACATTGATAGGGTGCATAGCTTGTCAGTCCTATAAAACATTGATAGGGTGCATAGCTTGTCAGTCCTATAAAACATTGATAGGGTGCATAGCTTGTCAGTCCTATAAAACATTGATAGGGTGCATAGCTTGTCAGTCCTATAAAACATTGATAGGGTGCATAGCTTGTCAGTCCTATAAAACATTGATAGGGTGCATAGCTTGTCAGTCCTATAAAACATTGATAGGGTGCATAGCTTGTCAGTCCTATAAAACATTGATAGGGTGCATAGCTTGTCAGTCCTACAAAACATTCTGTGTATTTTCTCTTGGATCCGTAGCCATTTTCAGAGATAAACAAAACGAGGTATTTATCATCAAATTTAAGTACCGGTATTGTATGTCCGAGTACAAAGGCAGTATCAGAGTTGTCCTGCTCAGAAAGTGGAATATTTTTTAACATGTGATTTGAGATTAATAATTTAAACTGGATGACAAATATACAACAATTATCGTATAAGTTATCTTAATAGAGGAAGCATTTTATAACTCTTGCCTGGAGATATTTCTCCCCTGCACAGTCAAAAGCATGATGGCTCTTTATTGAAACTTTTTCATTGTTTTAAGTGAAAGCTAATTTTGGAGCTTAACTACAAACTTCTGTTTCATCAGTATAATTTTTTGATTCGTTTCAATTTGATTTTCTTCTTTTATTGTTCTAAAATTCCAACTGAAAATACTTTTGTTTTATTCTATCTTTTAACATTCTCTAATACAACAAAACAAGCTGTGCAAATTACAAATATTCTGTGAAATGTCTATCTGAACATATTTTAATAAAAATCACAAAAGATACATAGGAATTTTGATAAAAGTTTGATTCCTTGACACATTTGTGTTTTATGGTAAACAGTATAACTTGATCAACACCAAAAATGGTTTTTGAACACTTTTTTCCTGTGATATCTTTTATGAACCTGGTGTTCTTTTGAGAGATTTTTGTACTTTAAATGAACTTTAGTGGATGTGCAATAAGTTACAAATGCAGCTTAATTTGTCCCTAAAATCCTCAGATTGGAAGGGATGAGAAAATATAACATGACTATTGTTTTCATTTTAATTTCCTTTGGTTTCTTTGAGCAGGTGAGATGGTTTTTAATTAATGAACTTGATTGTGATAGTTAATTTGCTATTGTAATGTTCCTGGAGGTCAAAGTCATTGTGATTTCATAACAACATTGTCAGCTAACTAACAATCAGGCTGTCAGGCTACAGGAAATGTCATTGGTGTAAGCCAAATTTTGACCTTTAACCTCCCTGAATGTGTATTTTGCATTTTGTTTGTTGAATCCTGTCTGTGTATGACTGTGATTGGTAGAGTGGATGCCCTCTGTCTATTTATTGTCTAGATTTCTACCATATTTATCCCGTCCAGGGCCCCCCACACATCAACTCAGACCCACAGTAAATGGTGGTCTCATTACAGGACAATGAAATAGCATTTATTGAAATTTTGAATGAATTGTCAAAAGCATGGACTGGTTTATTTACCAGGCATATGCTAATAGATAACTACACGACGTGTGCTGTTCCTCGATGCTTACAACACTGATGTTGATATTAGGCTATGTGGATGCCTCAATGCTTACAACACTGAGGTTGATATTAGGCTATGCGGATGCCTCGATGCTTACAACACTGATGTTGATATTAGGCTATGTGGCTGCCTCAATGCTTACAACACTGATGTTGATATTAGGCTATGTGGATGCCTCAATGCTTACAACACTGATGTTGATATTAGGCTATGCGGATACCTATACTTGGATTCAATCCTGCTGATGCATTTTCAGACACTTCTACACTGACATTTTTTGTTTTCTTTTTTTTTATAGTGAATTTTAACAGAGTCCATTGTATGCTGTAGTTAATAAATTTTGTTTTTTAGCTTGAATTTTGTTGTAACCATGTTCTTGCTTCCTTTGACTTGTTTGAGATTCATCAAACAGGTCCATCCCAATACATGCGTTTTGGAGACAAATCTAATTCACTCGAGCCAAACTCTCCATCAGGGAAAGTTAGGTACAGCTAACATTGATGACCACTGCTCATACCTCTGCTAATACATCAATGTTATCTTTGTCCTCTGACAAGAGATGGTATATACGATTGTATACATTATAGAACTCTGGATAAACTGGACAAAGGGCATTTATCTGTAACTTCATACTATTTTTCTGAAGATTGTGCCATGGTGTCATCCCTTTTAATCCCTGTTTCTTCGTTTTAATCACAGACTTTGTTCTGGTCTCTGCTGTGAAAAGCATTTGGAATTTTAGAATAATAACCACTTAGTCATCAGTCCTTTTATTTGTGGTATTTCTATTGTGTTTCATTTCATGTTGTATCTATAACACCATGTTGGATAGTGTAATATTTTAAACTTAAACTATGTTAATATTTTTAATTTACTGTCTACTAATTTGAACTATTAAAAAGTGGATTCATAGAGTATGTTATATTGTGATATTTTTCTCTTTGTTCACATGTTTATTGTGTGAAGGGGCCATTTCCGAGTTTGCTGACATTAAGAATTGATGTAATGGGTATCGGGTATCTTTTGTTTTTCCATTTTATAAAACTGTGTTGTTTTTTTGAATAACGGTTTTAACATGGTTTCTGTAAGTATGAGGATATTATCTGTCGTACCATGGTGTTGTTCATACAACAAGCTGTCTGCTGCTAACAAATCTTGTATTACATGTAATTCATTTGCTTCTTCACCAAAGAAACAAATAGATCATTGATCATTTTATGTATTTTGTAAATTTAAAAGGAGAAAAGCAAGAGTTTATGTGACTGATCTCACTCAGAAATAAACTATTTCACTCAGTTTTTCATTAACATGTTTTCGGATTGTATACAATCTTGTTAAAAGCAAAACATGATGTGGCCTGGTCCAGGCTTCAGAAACTTAAACTGTAAAAGTGAAGTATTTCTGTTCCTAATTTGAATCTCTTGCTTTCCTCCAGAACATTTGTCATATTTTTATCTGGCTTGGTCTGTTCCTAGCCATCATCAGCCTCTTGACAAAAGGGGAAGTAACTCAGTCAAGAAAAGTGCTTTGTTTATAGATGCTGAGTTATCTCCCCTTGACAAGTTGTGTGAGAGTTGTTTTACGTGTGGATATTGTGTAAGGGTCAGAATGGTGTATGATGAACCCTGAGGGCTTTCAAGTTTTGGGAGATGTGTGTTAACATCATTCAGATTGAAATTCAAACGAAATTTGTTTTTAATGAAGTAGTTAAAGATTAGCTTTGTCAATCGATATTGTCTTAATTTGATTTTTTTGCCAAGGAAACAGTTTTTTAACCATAATTTTGTGAAATCATTAAGTTTTTTTATTTCAACATTCATTGAATCATTACTATAGTAAATATTGAGATGTTTTTATGTAGGAGAACCTTTGTGCCACAGTTGCGTGGTTCTTGGTAGGTGTGACTGTGATGATTTTGTGTGTCATTGTAACCCAAGGCAGCAGCGAACCATGTACAAATGTCAGCAAATCACTTACATTTCGCAACACATATATTTTCGCATTCATTCATGAAAAGAGACGATTGTAAATTCAGAGATGTTGCAAATATTTATACAGAAACAGTTATGAAGCTGTTGATGTGCATATTAAAATCCTCACAATTTAGTCACTGAACAAGCAATTATATTAGCGAAAATTAAGTGATTTACTCTTTACCGACTCACCAAGACGTAACGGCAAAGACTGGATGGTGTTTTGAAAAGAAAAAGTTTGATTTATGCATGTCTGAGATTATATATGACTGCTGTAGTCTAGATATGGTGGATTGTCAAGTTGATGTGGCCATACCGCATATTTAGGTGATTAAAAAGTAATATAAAGTCTAGTTTTCTAGTCCTTGGCTTAAACCCTTTCACCGCCGCAGACCATAATGGACTCATCCCCATAAATGCATGGTAGAGTCTACTAAAGTTACCTAGGGGTGAAAGGGTTAAGTTGGAAAGTGGAGGACCACAACAATGAAATTGTCGTTGCTTTTTATTAGCGATTGGTGTAAAAGAAAAAGTCTGTTTGGCATATTGTTGAGAATGTAACTGGAGCAGAATTGAGCACTTGTTAGTCTGGTATTGAGATTGAGTAGGACGCTATCGTTTGTGTTGTAGTCGAAGGGAAACATCTCAATATCCAAATATTTGTGAGACATTCGTGTAAAACAGGCGGTAAACTAAATAATAAAATTTTCTAATTTCATCAGACAAATCTTAACTTAATTAGTGTTTAGGCTATATTTCATATGGAAACTTCCTGTTCAAATTATTATTTTTGAAGGTAGTCTTGTTAAGTTCAATAGAGGGGAATATTAGAATACCTGTCTCAAAATTGTCTCCAGACAGTACTTAGGTGTAAATGCTTCTGATCAACACACAAAGTTCTATACATTTTTTTCGAAGCTGTTGATACTTCCTCTGTTTTCCCCGAATCTAATACTGTTATGTGAATTAATTTAAACGCACTTGATTGACGATCAGAAGATTAATGAAGTGTAAAACAATATTGGAGGGTAAGGTAGTTTGAAAAAAATAATGAAACCATTAGAAAGAAACTTCAGTAAATTGTGTGATAAAGCAAAAGCTGCATTATTGTATTGTGAATTGAAGTCTCTCGGTGGTGCCCTCAAACTAAGGTGCCTTCCATGGGGTATGGCTATTTTGAAATGGAACCGCTACAAGTTCCTTCAATGTGATATGGTATTTAAAGTGGAGAATTACAAAAGCATGAAATTGTTTTTATTTCTGTAAGTCACAATTACATGTATCATACCTTTGGGTGTGTTACCATTACTGGCCAAGGGAGTTCCAGGTAGTAATATTATGAGTGTGGTGTGCATGAGAGCCTATGGTCGACGTCGGTACGCTTGTACCGGTGGCCAGCCATTGGTACACATGTGCCTGTGGCCGGTTGTCTGTACACCTGTATCTTTGTTAGTCGTCAATACGACTGTATCTATGGTCAGTCGTCTGTACACCTGTATCTATGGTTGGTCATCGGTACACCTGTATCTGTGGTCAGCCACAAATACACCTGTATCTGTGGTCAGCCGTCGGTACACCTGTATCTGTGGTCAGCTGTCGGTACACCTGTATCTATGGTTGGTCATCGGTACACCTGTATCTGTGGTCAGCCGTCGGTGCACCTGTATCTATGGTTGGTCATCGGTACACCTGTATCTGTGGTCACTCGGTCGTCGATACACCTGTATCTGTGGTCAGCCGTCGGTACACGTGTATCTGTGGTCAGCCGTCGGTACACCTGTATCTGTGGTCAGCTGACAGTACACCTGTATCTATGGTCAGCCGTCTGTACAGCTGTATCTGTGGTCAGCCGTCGGTACACCTGTATCTGTGGTCAGCCGTCGGTACACGTGTTTCTATGGTCAGCCGACAGTACACCTGTATTTGTAATATGCTTTTGTTTTTTTATTACATTGTAATTTTTCCTAAGTGTTTATTGATCGCCACATTTTTAACTAATTGATTTCAGAAAACGTTAAATTTATCTTTTTATAGGTTCTTTAAACTTGGTGGCTATACACAGAAAATGGTTTTGTTGGATAACTTTCAACGAAGATAGAATTATATTTAATCATTTAACACTGATCAATTTGTGTGATGACATATCACAGACAAGTTTGTCATACATCTCCCTTTGTGATGTGACGTCATGACAGCGTATCACAGGACATAGAGTTTATTGTACATGTTTGTGGTGTGAGGTCATGACCTTGTATCACAGGAGGGTGTGTCTGTGTAAGCTGACCCAAGGCCAGATATGAGTGTTGTCATTAGGGCTGATGTTGTGCGGGAGGTTTCAGATCGGAGGATGTGCTTGACCCCGGCCTTGACCTACTAACCCAGTCTATTTTAGTTATGTATGTAGTACCGCTAGTGTAGCGAGCGTGAGGCTGGTTGTCTTTTTATGAATGTAAATAAATGTAATGGACGACCAGTCCACTACTCCATCAGCATAAAACTGTATCATGTTGTTTTTACACACAATTACCTACATCAACATCCATACAAACTTGTTGTATTTTAACAATGCCACACATTGTACTCCCATACAAGTTGTGCAAACTTTTCACTGGATGCCTCGGGAGAAGGGAGATAACTCCGACAGCCTTCCGTGGTTTTTCCTTTAAAAAGAAAGTTGGCATCGGAGATTACTTGCCAAATATGTATATATGCAAAATGAAAGTCGTGGTTCAGTATTCATTCTAGATATTTTTTTTGTTCTTGGGTCAAAAGCAGGAGTGTTGCATAGAAAGGCTTTTCAGACATGACATAATCTATAATGATTTTCATCTGATATTTCAAAAAAAAAAAGAAAAAAAAAAAAGAGGCTTTTCAGACATGTCATAATGATGATTTTCATCTAATGTTTTCATATACATTTTTTTTTCAAAAATAAAAAGGCTAACTTAAAACCTGATGTCATTTGAAAATGACCAAATTCCAGTCAGATACATATAATACAAATTATCCTGCATTGGCCTCAGATAAAAAATAATTTGATTTATTGGGGAAAAAAAATGTGCATCAAACTTCATTAGGCTACACATAAAATGGTAAAATATTATATTGATTGCTGATATTTTCATGAAAAAATGTAAATGACCACATAGAAACTTTTATTCCAAAATGGATTGTGGTGAAATTGAAAGTTTCAGTCATCTTACCAGTCGTGATACGATGGCGTCTTGGATGTTAACGAAATCGCGCATCAGATAAACAACTGCATTAGGAGATATAAATGTATGCCGGTCCCTCACGTGCTCGCGTGTAGGCAAGTCTGACACAGGCTCGGGGTTATTTAGGATTTTGATTGATATAACAATTGATTGACGGAACAGCTATCCAATGAGCTGGCGACTCTAGACGATCTGTTACTTGTATAACGGTGTTTGTTTTACATTTACTGACAATTACCGTGTAGGCTAAACAAAACACGCGAGCTCACAAATATTGGGTAAGTACCGCCCCACTGTTTACAATAGACCACTTCACAATGGTAAACAGTGCTGCTCCGCACAGAAATAAGTACATAAGGTGCTAAGCTGACGAATAGTATGGGCCATGCCATACACTGCAGCGCAGCAGATTACTGAATACGAGCTAGCCATCTCAAAGAGGTACACGTGTAGTTGATACGTCTCGCACGCGAAAAGTAATATCTGACAGATTGGATGATCGCGTACAGAGATCTTAGCACCTTACCCGGAAGTGGTCGTCACGGCCTGTTGACTGTCGAGGTTTGTTGTCACACGGTGAACTCCGGGAGGTGAGAGGTGAGAGATGGTGGCCTGCAACATACTACCTGTGTCGGAACACGACGGGACGTGTGTGTTTCCTTAATGCCTATAGGATTTAACAGGGTGCCATGGCCCCATGTGGAGTGAGACTCGGGGGGACGGGCCTTTCTTGTCACACCTGTGCGGTTTTCATTGTGTGTGCTCTCTTGTGTATTGCGCGTTCTCAGACATCGCTGGAGAAGGGCGACATACTCATTGTCAACACTGGGATCCAGGTCCCTTTCGGACGGACTGTTTATTTGGACCCAGTCAACGAGTTACGACTGTCGGTCAGACCGGGGCACAGGTGTGTTGTCACTGTGTTGGACAATGACCCTTTGTCCCAGCGGCCGGGGAGACTGCTCCCCTCCGATCACTTCCCATGCACATTCGGACCGAGGGATGTACAATATACACACTTCGGCGCACGTGTTCCCGTGGAGGATACGATCAGACTACTTATCAGGTACGACACTGATATAGAATCTCACATTATTCCTTTCACTATCCATGTATCTGTCACATTTGTACAGTTGGAGGTTGTCACAAAAAACCTGCCACTGTCAGCCTCTGTGGGCGCCGTGTCCAACTCCATCAACAGGAAAAATACAGAGTTTACTTACGACAGAGCTAACCAGGTGTGTCGACTCACTGTTATAGGAGCCTCCAGTGGGCTTCCGCGGTTCGGGATAGTCGCAAATGGTACAACTGTACCGACAGATATAGAATGTGACCAATTTCAACAAATGGGAATAAAATACAGATACTCTAATAAAAACAACTCCCCAAACAAAGATTATATTCCGATGGTAGTTGAGTTATTAGATGAAGATGGAGCTATAATGAAACAAGAGTATTTCCATAAAGTGGTAACGATAACTGGAGCTCGGACGAACCGTAAGCCCCGTCCATCGTATAATGCATTCCTAGTGATGGAAGTGAGTAATGGTAACGCTATTGACCAGTTTGTGATGACTGCGATCCCCCCGACCGTTCTGGCCGCCGAGGACTTAGAAACACCAATGGAATTAGTAGTTTTCAACATTACAGGACCTCTGGGAGCTGGTCAGGGTCAAATTGTAAGTACTGACGACAGAGATCAACCTATTCATTCCTTTTACCAGAGAGATGTTATTGATCTGAAAATAGCCTATAAACCACCTTCCATAGACTCAAATACACCCCGAACCTTTACGGTAGAATTCCAGGTCATAGATTTGGACGGAGCAAAATCGGACCCCTTTCCTTTAATCATAGTTGTCAACCCGATGAACACCCTGTCCCCTGTGGTCACTCTTAACACGGGTATACAGTTGTATGAAGGTCAGTCTAGACAACTTCTTAGCTCTCAAAATCTTCAGATTTCTGACGAGAACAATTTAGAAAAAGTAAAAATATTCAAAGCGGATGGAGCGAGACATGGTGAACTAAGAATACCTGGTAGCAGAGAGTATTTTACAGCAGATGATCTAGATAAAGGCCTCGTGGTTTATCAACACGACGGCAGCGACACCAACAGTGACAATATCGTGTTCCGGATGACCGATGGTCAACACCATGTAGAGTTTCTTTTCCCTGTCACGATTTACCCCGAGGACGATGAGCCTCCCTTTGTAACTAGTAACACTGGATTAGAAATTTATAAAAATCAATTAGCAGAAATCTCCCAGTTTAAGTTGAGTGCTACAGATATTGATAGTGATGATTCAGAGATAAACTTTATATTGGAGCCCCCATATTCCAAACATGGTAAAATCATGGTACGACAATTCCAAGTCCCGAGGGACCCACAGAACTGGCTCTATAATAACGGTGTGTACGAACAAGCGGTGTATCAGTTCACCCAACAGGATATCCTGGACGGCAAAGTGTTCTACAAACACACGGCCTCCCACCGATCATCTTACGTCACTGACAACATCAAGTTCAGTCTGGAGGACAGACATGTACCACCCAACAAGTCGTACCAGCCCTACGCATTCGTTGTGCAGGTACTTCCTCTGGATGATCAGCCTCCGTACCAACACCTCAATACCAAACTAAAAATGAAGGTAGAAGAGTTTCAGATGACAACTATCAAACGTAAACAGCTACGATATACCGATGATGACACCAACGATCGCCAGCTGCAATACAGAGTTACATCCCCTTTGTTTGATACAGATCAGAACACTCCTTTAAGCGCAGGTAACATTGTTCTTTGTGAAAACCCTGGTGTTCCCATCTCAACGTTCACACAATCCCAGGTGAACCACCAGAAAGTCTGCTACCAGCCACCCAGTGCCGAGCTCGGCATCACCGCAAGAATTATCCAGTTTGGGTTTTCTGTGACCGACACAAACGGCAACGTCCTTGCTGATCAACGTTTTACAATTACTCTTCAGCCTATTGATAATCAACCCCCGCGGGTTACCAACACTGGAGCAACTGTTTTAGAAAATGGATTAGTGACCTTGACCTCACAAAATCTAGATGTGATTGACCCGGATACGGATGATGAAGATATTCGTTTTATTGTGTCGACTCTTCCTGACTATGGTGAGGTGAGGAAAGGTGAGCAGACTGTTGTTGTCGGGGACTCCTTCAATAAACATGATATCAACCGTGGAAGAATGGTGTATATAAATTCTGGGGAGGAAACAGACAGGGACACATTTGCCTTGGAGTTAAGTGATGGGGCCCATCTAATTCCTGTACTGTTCACTATAAATATCCGCTCTGTCGATGACGAAGCCCCTGTTCTTACAGGAACACTCTCAAACACCTTGGAGATCGATTTGGAGGTCAATGAAGGTCAATCTGTGACTTTAGCAGCCGATAGGTTCCGAGCGTCTGATCCGGATTCTGATGACCTTACTTTGATATTTATGATAGAAACTGCCCCGACAAGTGGAGCAATTTTGAAATCAGGCCAAAGGGCCACCGACTTTACCCAGCAAGATTTACAAGACGGTGTTGTCATGTACCAACATCTGGGAGGGGAGATCGGGGCAGATGCAAGTCGGGATCGCTTTTCTCTTATTCTGTCAGATCGCTCAAGAAATTTTATGGTAGAAGGCAACAGGGTAGCGGAAATCGAGGTGATTGTGAAAGTTATGCCGGTTGACAATCAACCCCCTAATGTGTTGTTGGGTGCTCAATTTGGAGTTTTGGAAGGGGAGAAGGAGGCAATATTGCCTCGTCACGTCGACGCCATGGATGATGATTCTGCTGATGAGAAACTGCAGTGTACAGTATTAGTTCAGCCCCAGTATGGTTACATAGAGAATTTCTCCCCTGCCCCCGGGTCAGAGAAATCTAGGGTAGGGATGCCAGTGACCTCTTTCTTCATCAAGGAACTGAGAGTAGGTAACGTAAACTATGTACAGAGTATACACCGGGGGGTAGAGGAATATCGGGATTCCTTCACTTTCTACTGCTCTGACGGTATCAACTCTTCACCCGACTACAACTTCAATATCTCTATCTACCCCACGAACGACGAGCCGCCACAAGTATTTGACAGAGAGTTTGTAGTGATGGAAGGGCTAGAAATGAAAATTGACACCCCAATCTTGACCGCTGTTGATCAGGATGTCCCACCCGATGAAATCATTTTTATCGTGACCGTTCCTCCAAAACATGGCCAGATTTTACAGCAGCGTGGCCTGATGGGTACATTTCCTGTCGCTCAATTCTCTATGACGGACATTGACGGCTCGTCAAACATAATGTACAAACACGATGATTCGGAAACAACTGAAGATGCATTTGAGCTTGTGGCAACGGATGGGAGATTTAATGTTACAAAGAAAATACCCATAGCCATCATCCCTGTGGACGATGAAACGCCCCGATTATCTGTCAATACTGGGATAGAAATTGAAACAGTGGGGGAAAAGAAAATGATTTCCAATTCAGTCCTTAGGGCAGAAGACTTGGATTCTCCTGACCCCAATATCACTTTCATTATTCGCCGCATGCCAAAACAGGGAATGTTATTGTTGGATAAGGTCGGATTACCAGAACAAAACTTGACCTTGGGGTCAAAGTTCACTCAGTATGACATTGATAACCAGTGTGTATTTTACATTCACACTGGATTAGAGGGCAGAAGGGACATCATAAAATTTGAGATTACAGATGGACTAAATCCTCTTGTAGACCGATACTTCTATGTCACTGTCGCTGGTTTGGATCTCATTTACCCAGAGGTCATAAACAAAGGTTTACGACTACCAGAAGGAGGCTCTGTTGTCTTGACTACTGACATCATCAGCGGTAGGGATTCAAATTCTCCTGATGAAGACCTTGTTTTTACCATTACCAACGTTCCTCAGCATGGATATCTCGAGAACCTTGACAATCCCGGGGTTCCAATTACTACATTCACACAGATTGATCTAGCAGGTTACAAAATTCGCTATACCCATACCAGCGAAAGTGAGGTCAAGATGGACCGGTTCGAGTTTGAGGTTACAGATGGCACCAATCCTGTGACCAGGATGTTTCGTATTGCCCTGACAGATGTTGACAACAAGAAGCCAGTGCTTATGTTTGGGACTCTTCTCGTAATGGAGGGAGCTAACAAACTTATTACACCCTTCGAACTGAAGACTATTGACAAGGATACTCCGAGTCACAGCATTGAGTATACTCTCACTCAGATTCCTCTCCATGGAAACATCTTGTATGATCACTCGCGGATTGTAACGATGTTTACGCAAGAGGACATAGAATTAAACAAAATCAGTTACCAACACGACGGTTCAGAAACGCTATCGGACAGTATCTCCTTCACGGTGACAGACGGTACGCACAGCGATTTCTACATTTTTCTGGAGACTGAGCGATCTCTCCGTCACCCCCAGACCCTCCCCATCGAAATTCTTCCTGTGGATAACGCTGTGCCCCACCTCACCATCAACCTTGGTGCGACTTCCCTCACACCCGTACTTGGAGGAGGCTGGGGTTTCACGTTTGACAGCAATGTTCTGCAGTGTGATGACCGAGACAGCTCTGCGGACAATCTAGTTTATGAACTGACCGTCTATCCTCAGTGGGGTCATCTGGTACACATGGGGAAACATCAAAGTAACATCTCGACCTGGACACAAGGTAAGTCGTCTTTAACAATTACTCCCTATGTACACTTCATAAATGTATATACAGCAAGCCATAAATAATCCTCCCTTCCTGTCAACTCCACTGCTTTAATGTTCAATTACAGATGATGGATGGGAGACAACGTATTGAGGAATTTGTCATAAGTCTACTTCAGGGCTGATTGACAATTCTTTACTTGTCTCTGATGAAATGTATGCTTATCAATTGAATTAGACACTTAAAATGGAGACACATTTCACTGATGTTGATATTGTTATACCTGTGAAATCTCTCTGTCTACGAAATTGTAGTCAACATTACTGTACTTGTGAACTCTCTCAGTTGCGATTGTTTAATATTATTTACTTTTAAGTATAAATTACCACTGATTCTATCCTAACATTGATCCTAACAAAGATCCCTGGACCATTTTCAAAAACTATAACTAGGCTTTAGAAACTGTTTTTTATGGCATGACTTTAGTTTTTATAAATCCTTTCAGAAAAGGAAATCTTACCTCATTTGACTTTTATTAAAAAATTGTTAAGATGAAATAAACTAGATATTACCAACAAAAGATGAAATAAATGAGATATTACCAACAAAAGATGAAATAAATGAGATATTACCAAGAAAAGATGAAATGAATGAGATATTACCAACAAAAGATGCAATAAACTGGATATTACCAACAAAAGATGAAATAAACAAGATATTACCAACAAAAGATGAAAAAAATGAAATATTACCAACAAAAGATGAAATAAACGAGATATTACAAACAAAAGATGCAATAAACAAGATATTACCAACAAAAGATGCAATAAACGAGATATTACCAACAACAGATGAAATAAACGAGATATTACCAACAAAAGATGAAATAAACGTATTACCAACAAAAGATGAAATGAACGAGATATTAACAACAAAAGATGAAATAAACGAGATATTACCAATAAAAGATGAAATGAACGAGATATAACCAACAACAGTGTTTTGAGTGAAAAGTATCTCCTGAGTCAAGACAAGGATTCAAACCCAGGACCTCAAATTATTATACTGTCACTCTTATCAACTTAGCTACCTGGCCAACGGAAGTAACGCGGCCCAAAGGTGCTACAGTTGTATCTGCAGTGATATTAAGGGGAGGTAACTATATATATGATAAACCACAGTGACATCTCTAGTGTTTTGCCTGCAGTGGGTCAGGGATCCTTAATATTGTGTATTGAATGGTATGTATATGGAGTATCAATGCGATTACTTAAATAATATAATAATAATATACAATATTTGATATAGCGCCCTATCTAGCTAACATAAGCCACTCTATTAAAGCGCTTTACTGTGCATATATATATACAATTAGCATATATATTAATCAATAGCGTTTTTGAGAAATTCGCAGGAGCTGCCTTATCAGGCGCTAACTACTAGTCCTATGCCACCTGGCTAATACCTCCCTTTGTGTGTATGCCTGCGTGTGTGCTGGAGATGTTATGTGTTCTGTTTGTAGTGGGACCGTGCTTCCATCAGCATCATTTATAGTGTCACCTCACTTATATGCTACAGCACAGACACCGTGACATCCACCCCAGACCACTTTATACTCCACCTGGGTTGTTGTAGTTGTGTGGGCAGGAGAAAAACACTTTCTCTGAATAACCATGCATACGACGACTTCGGGGATCGAACCCCGGCCGCATGCGTGGAAGGCCGGAGTGTTAACCACTCGACCAATCCGCCCATTACTTGTACTTGTCTGTAACGAGTATCTATATGGAATACTGAGTATATATGTCGACTATCAATGTGGTTACTTGTTTGTACTGAGTATCTCTATTGAGTACTGAGTATCTATGTCGACTTTGGATGCGGTTACTTGCCTGTACTGAGTATATATGTCGATTATCAATGCGGTTACCTGTTTGTACCGAGTTGAGTATATATGTCGACTATCAATGTGGTTACTTGTTTGTACTGAGTATCTCTATTGAGTACTGAGGATCTATGTCAACTATCAATGTGGTTACTTGTTCGTACTGAGTATCTCTATTGAGTACCGAGTATCTATGTCAACTATCAATGTAGTTACTTGTTTGTACTGAGTATCTCTATTGAGTACCGAGTATCTATGTCAACTATCAATGTAGTTACTTGTTTGTACTGAGTATCTCTATTGTGTACTGAGTATCTATGTCAACCATCAATGTGGTTACTTGTTTGTACTTAGTATCTCTATTGAGTACTGAGTATCTATGTCGACTTTGGGTGCGGTTACTTGCCTGTACTGAGTGTATATGTCGATTATCAATGCGGTAACCTGTTTGTACCGAGTAACTCCATCGAGAACTGAGTTAGTATCTATGTCGATCATCAATGCAGCTACCTGATTGTACCGAGCAACTCCATGGAGTACTGAGTTAGTATATATGTCGACTATCAATGTGGGTACCTGTTTGTACCGAGTAACTCCATGGAGTACTGAGTAAGTATATATGTCGACTATAAATGTGGTTACCTGTTTGTACCGAGTAACTCCATCGAGTACTGAGTTAGTATCTATGTCGATTATCAATGCGGTAACCTGTTTGTACCGAGTAACTCCATGGAGTACTGAGTAAGTATATATGTCGACTATAAATGTGGTTACCTGTTTGTACCGAGTAACTCCATCCAGTACTGAGTTAGTATCTATGTCGATTATCAATGCAGTTACCTGTTTGTACCGAGTAACTCCATCGAGTACTGCGTTAGTATCTATGTCGATTATCAATGCGGTAACCTGTTTGTACCGAGTAACTCCATGGAGTAATGAGTTAGTATATATGTCGATTATCAATGTGGTTACCTGTTTGTATCGAGTAACTCCATGGAGTACTGAGTATATATGTCGATTATCAATGCGGTTACCTGTTTGTACCGAGTAACTCCATGGAGTACTGAGTTAGTATCTATGTCAACTATCAATGCGGTTACCTGTTTGTACCAAGTAACTCAATGGAGTACTGAGTTAGTATATATGTCGATTATCAATGCGGTTACCTGTTTGTATCGAGTAACTCCATGGAGTACTGAGTTAGTATATATGTCGAATATCAATGCGGTAACCTGTTTGTACCGAGTAACTCCATTGAGTATTGAGTTAGTATCTATGTCGATTATCAATGCGGTTACCTGTTTGTATCGAGTAACTCCATGGGGTACTGAGTATATATGTCGATTATCAATGCGGGTACCTGTTTGTACCGAGTAACTCCATGGAGTGCTGAGTTAGTATCTATGTCGATTATCAATGCGGTAACCTGTTTGTACCGAGTAACTCCATTGAGTATCGAGTTAGTATCTATGTCGATTATCAATGCGGTTACCTGTTTGTACCGAGTAACTCCATGGAGTACTGAGTTAGTATATATGTCGATTATCAATGCGGTTACCTGTTTGTACCGAGTAACTCCATGGAGTACTGAGTTAGTATATATGTCGATTATCAATGCGGTTACCTGTTTGTACCGAGTAACTCCATGGAGTACTGAGTTAGTATATATGTCGATTATCAATGCGGTTACCTGTTTGTACCGAGTAACTCCATGGAGTACTGAGTTAGTATATATGTCGATTATCAATGCGGTTACCTGTTTGTACCGAGTAACTCCATGGAGTACTGAGTTAGTATATATGTCGATTATCAATGCGGTTACCTGTTTGTACCGAGTAACTCCATGGAGTACTGAGTTAGTATATATGTCGATTATCAATGCGGTTACCTGTTTGTACCGAGTAACTCCATGGAGTACTGAGTTAGTATATATGTCGATTATCAATGCGGTTACCTGTTTGTACCGAGTAACTCCATGGAGTACTGAGTTAGTATATATGTCGATTATCAATGCGGTTACCTGTTTGTACCGAGTAACTCCATGGAGTACTGAGTTAGTATATATGTCGATTATCAATGCGGTTACCTGTTTGTACCGAGTAACTCCATGGAGTACTGAGTTAGTATATATGTCGATTATCAATGCGGTTACCTGTTTGTACCGAGTAACTCCATGGAGTACTGAGTTAGTATATATGTCGATTATCAATGCGGTTACCTGTTTGTACCGAGTAACTCCATGGAGTACTGAGTTAGTATATATGTCGATTATCAATGCGGTTACCTGTTTGTACCGAGTAACTCCATGGAGTACTGAGTTAGTATATATGTCGATTATCAATGCGGTTACCTGTTTGTACCGAGTAACTCCATGGAGTACTGAGTTAGTATATATGTCGATTATCAATGCGGTTACCTGTTTGTACCGAGTAACTCCATGGAGTACTGAGTTAGTATATATGTCGATTATCAATGCGGTTACCTGTTTGTACCGAGTAACTCCATGGAGTACTGAGTTAGTATATATGTCGATTATCAATGCGGTTACCTGTTTGTACCGAGTAACTCCATGGAGTACTGAGTTAGTATATATGTCGATTATCAATGCGGTTACCTGTTTGTACCGAGTAACTCCATGGAGTACTGAGTTAGTATATATGTCGATTATCAATGCGGTTACCTGTTTGTACCGAGTAACTCCATGGAGTACTGAGTTAGTATATATGTCGATTATCAATGCGGTTACCTGTTTGTACCGAGTAACTCCATGGAGTACTGAGTTAGTATATATGTCGATTATCAATGCGGTTACCTGTTTGTACCGAGTAACTCCATGGAGTACTGAGTTAGTATATATGTCGATTATCAATGCGGTTACCTGTTTGTACCGAGTAACTCCATGGAGTACTGAGTTAGTATATATGTCGATTATCAATGCGGTTACCTGTTTGTACCGAGTAACTCCATGGAGTACTGAGTTAGTATATATGTCGATTATCAATGCGGTTACCTGTTTGTACCGAGTAACTCCATGGAGTACTGAGTTAGTATATATGTCGATTATCAATGCGGTTACCTGTTTGTACCGAGTAACTCCATGGAGTACTGAGTTAGTATATATGTCGATTAT